TTTTTATGAAGTTCCAAGCCAAGTTTTTTTGTTTAAGTTTAATTTCTGAATTGAATGTCAATTTTTCCTTCCAGACACCAAAGAAAAAAGTCTTTACAACGCAGAGGACACCACCAAACACTCGCCCCTCAAAGATGCAGTTGCTTCTACATCCACCAGTAACACATCTATGTCAAGAACGTCACAAAACACCAGTACGTTTCACTCGAGAACACTTATATCTCGATCAGGTGTCACAGATTATGAGGTACAATACGTTGCTGAAGAAAAAGACCTTTTTCCTGCTCTGCTCCTCATTATCCGCAAATGGGATCCGGATATTCTGATCGGCTATGAGGTGCAAATGTTTTCTTGGGGATTCCTTCTTGAAAGGGCGTTGACTTTTGAAATTGACCTTTGCAGTCGGTTGGCTCGCGTACAAGGTTCATCTTCTGACAGCAACATGGACGCGGAAAAGGATAGATGGGGCGCGGCGCATACTTCCGAGATAAAAATCGCTGGGCGGATAATTTTGAATGTCTGGAGGCTCATGAGACATGAGGTAGGGCCTCAAAGGGAGACAAGAATTAAAAGATGTTCTTAAATAGTTCTAACGGTAGTTAGGTGATCAGAGGCAATTGCATCTCCGTCAGCGTCCTTACTATAGGGACCTTGCGAAACTTTAACAGCGACGGCAACAGCAACGTCTAAAAAACAATAGGTTCTATGAGCAAAACAACAATTCTGCTCGTGCATCACTCTTTTTTGTACATTTCTTGCCTTCCCGCACAACTACGACGTGAAATGATCAAATTTTGAGTTGACTTGAGAATGACAACGGCAGGGCGATAAATTTTACTTTCTCTCTCTGAACTCGAACGCGGTCCCTTCTCTTCGGTTCCAACCTAACTTCCCGATTTTCAAGTAACTGGCTAACTTGATATAAAGACGAAAAGGTTTCTAAGGACGTGAAGTGTGTTTTTCAGCGACATATTTATTGGCGTCGTCGTTGTCGGATCGTGAGGTCCCTTTTCACCCTTCCGAATAGGCCTTTCGTTACATTGCGGAGAATTGAAAATTTGCATGGTTGTGTTTGTGTTAGTGTTTAAAATTTGTGTATTTTAATTTCTTATCACTGCAACACATCAAATGAAATGAGTGACAGAAGGAAGTTGAAAAGCCTTTAGGGCGAGATTTTCTCAGTACTAAGTAGTACGCGCGTGTGAACCAGCATCACTTTGGCGGGAAAACGCGATACCCTTCGTCATTCTACTACGAGTTTAAGCCAGAATGTCGTTGCGACGGAAACAAGTTATGTCATTATCAAGTGTTAGGAAATTTTAACATTTTGCGCTCGGAAGAGGGGTTTAATAACCGCGCTAAATTTTCTGGTGAAAAACGTACAATAAAGCTTTCTGGGGTGTCGATTTTTGAGAACACGCGAAAAAACTGCAAGTTAAATCTCCTCCTCGAATTTAAAGGTCTCAACTTGTCGGCAGTGCAATGTACTGAGACTGAAATCCATACAGCATAGCAGGAATGGCTGTCCTGGTGTAGTTCAACTTTTCAAACTTGCTTGTAAATAGCCAACAGGTTTACCTCTCCTAAAAGCTGGAATACTTAACTCTGTGAAGTTTATTTTGATTATTTGTTTTGGTTATTTGCTCCGGCCGTTAGCCTTTGTGCTATAAAAACTACGCACTTCTGTTTGTGCGAAACAAAAATTTTGAAACATTGATTCTATTCCACAGGTTACGCTGAGCAGCTACTCGTTCGAGAACATAGCGTTTCACGTTCTTCACGAGCGCATTCCTTTGTTTACATTCCGCACTTTATCGGATTGGTGGGATCACAGAACTGCTCTCAATCGTTGGAGGACCATCGATCATTACGTCAGGCGTTGCCTTGTCAGTGTTAAGATACTAGAGGCGGTGGATTTCATTGGTCGCACCAGTGAGCTAGCAAGACTGTTTGGGATATTATTCTTTTCTGTAATATCTCGTGGATCGCAGGTATTTGAGATGTTATTCTTTAAAACTCCATGAAATCAGTGTCTGAAAAATAAGGTTTTTATCACTTTTGGCATACTCACTAAAGAAGCTCAGTATAGACTGTTTCGCTTCTTTCGTGCTTAGCAAACCTTCTGGGTACATCCTTAACTCAAAAGTACAGAGCTGCTGTGGCGTTGACTATTTGTTATGGTTTGTCAGGTATTTGGGATCTTTTTCGAAACTACGACGGCAACAGCAATGGGAACGTCCTCCAAATAAACAAACAAACAAACAAACAAGTAAAACAACATCTCTACTCTTTACCCTTCTCAGTCAACTACGACGTATAGTAACGAAATTTTAGATTTCTATAGAAGGCGAATGGCGAGGTAATAAAGCTGAGCTCGGACGCGATCGCTACTCTTCAATGAGATGAACCAGTTGAAATAATCGCGATTGACGTTTTCGTTGGCGTCGCCGTTGTTGTATTGTAAGGTTCCTTTTACTGTGCTGCGATCAACTTTCATAACTTCTTGTGTGTTGATTTTAGTAGTTATCCGTTTGTTAGAGCAGCATATATTAAGTGATTTTGATATCGATTGCACTTATTACATCTTAAACGGATTGTCTTATTGCAATTTAACAGCTGGCAGTTTCCTCGGAGTTTGTTTAAATTTGTAGATTGTTTCTCTTTTAGTATCGTGTCGAGTCCATGATGTTGAGAATTGCAAAGCCAATGAACTATATCCCAGTTTCTCCGAGCGTGGAGCAGCGCGGAGCGTAAGTGTTTGACTGGATGTTGTAGTAACACAGAATTGATTGATTAGGTTTTGATTAGCAAAACAAAACTTTACACATGCAACACCCTTTTCTGTACAATTATTTGGTGAAACTGCCTTGAAACAGCGTGAATTCACTTTTTAACGGGCGTTTTCGCCACCGTCCTCTTTGTCGTTGCTTAAACTCCCCATTGACTTCAAATACTCGCGGATGCAAGTGTTATCTAAGTATCTTGAGGGATGTCCTTAATTCATGTATTTATTGAACAAAAAAGGTTTTTGTTTGTTCGGCTTTCGAGCGCCAGCGTTGTGTTTTTATTCTCTCAGAATGCGAGCTCCAGAAACCATTCCCCTGGTCATGGAGCCGGAATCCCGTTTCTACAGCGATCCAGTCCTTGTCCTAGATTTCCAGTCTCTGTACCCTACCATGATCATTGCCTACAACTACTGTTTCTCCACGTGCCTGGGGCGAGTCAGCTGCCTGTCAGAGTAAGTAGCTAGGGTCGCTAGCGAGTGGAATTTTAGTGAATGAATTTAAATTATTTCCCACGGTGAAATTCAGTAAGGTGAAAGGAGAGGAAGCACGACTTCCATCGCAATTGACATCAAACTGTTTATTTTCTTAGCAATCCATAGAAAGTAGAACATACCTCCAGGGTTTACTGTCTATAATGAAAGAAATCTATTTACTTGACTAAGGCCCGATTACATGGAAAATAGCTGTTCCGGCTAGAAAGGTCACTTGCTTACCCGAGCTAACCGTGGCGAGCCAACTTTTCATACATTTCGTTACAAAACGTGGTGAACCGTGTACATGAGAAACAAAACATTGGCTCGACTAGAAGGGTGATGTGATGTTATGGTCATCCTTCTACCCGTCCAACTTTTCTCCGTATAAACACTTTGCCTCGCCCAGCCGGGTCAACTCAGTCAAGGCGAGGCAATCAGAGCATGCGCGAGCGCTGTTTTAGACAATTAGAGCGTTTGCGACCGCTTTCTTAGACAATCCGAGCACTGATTTAGACAATTAGAACGTGCGCGAGCGCTGTTTTAGACAATTAGAACATTCTCGAGCGCTGTTTGCTCGGGCGAAGGGGTCAATTAGTTTCTCGTATAAACGCTTAACTCGGCTTGGCGGGGTTTTTTCCATATAAACAGGACCTTAGAATGTTATTTCATGACATTGATTTCCTGGTTTATTCTGTAGGTATGGTGAGTTTAAGTTTGGTGCAACTTCACTGTGTGTTCCACCTAGTCTTCTTAAGGTACGAAGTCGGTTCTAGTTTTTAAACTCCGCGTCTGTCATCTGTCAAAAGTTAAATTTGGAAAGTTTCTTAGAGAATTATAGTTGTAAACTATACCATTCAATACCATTTTGCTAGAACGACATTCCACATCATAGGCCGCCGTTGTTCAATTAGTGGTTGCCCAACTCTAAATGCTGGAGGATGTTAAAATGAATCATTTTGTGCCGTAGGGGAGCTTTCGTTTGAAATAGCGTGGTGGACATGTCACAAGACGACATTTCCTTTTTCTCTTTCATAACAAGCATGCAGCCCTCGAGCAATCAATACCACCACAGAAAGTCTGTAACAATGATGTTCGTTCTAACGCTGTTATTTTAAAATCAAAACTATTATTTTTCACCTTCTTTAGACTTCTATGTTTTAATGCAGAAAAATAGAAACCTTATGTTGTCTTCTAAATTTCCAGTTTCCAGGTTTCAGTTTTTGTGACGAACTAGTTGGATGACCCCTCGAAGTTCACGAAATAAACGTCATTGCATTTGTTTTATTTCTAGAAACTTGAAGGTGACATTCATGTCTCTCCTAACGGCGTCGCCTATGTCAAACCCAGCGTTAGGAGAGGTATACTTCCCAGGTAATTATTTTTAGCACGAGAAAACAGACGACATTGCACCACGCCACCACTGGTTTTCCCGCGAAATGACGTCTGAGCAACGACTGCAGAAATTCCATACTGATGACGTGTTACTACCCAGATGTGGGCAGTACTTCTGATTGGTCGTGTCGTGAGAGAAATTTGCTTCAACCAATCAGACGCATTTCCTAGATCTGGGTAGTGTACGTCTTCTGTACGGAATTTCTGAAGCAGTTGCTCAGACGCCATTTCGCTGGGAAATCAGTGGAGAAGTCGCAAAATGTCGGCTGTTTCTTCAGGCTAATTTTTTTAATGGACGAAATTTTGCCACTGAGTCGACGTTGAAAGTCAATTACTCATCAGTTTTGTTTTTCAACAGCATGTTAGACGAGATCCTTCAAACGAGAATCATGGTTAAGACATCAATGAAAAAGTGGAAAAATGACAAGGTATAGACGATCTAAAGACAAAGTACACAAAGACAAAGTATACATGGGAGGGACATAAAGGGACAAAGTATACATGAGCACAGTAGGGAGGTATAGCTCAGTAACTCTCACGTGAATTGTTACCCTTTAGGATTCTGTCCATAGATTCAAAGGGCAGTACCCCGTGAAGCTTAATAAAAAGTACCGTAGGAAATACTGCTCAGTAGCTTTCATTTTCAAGTACTCTGTCCACAGTTTGAAAAAGTTAAACCCTTCTTTTACAACGCAATGACTGAATAGTACCGCGGACCAAAAGAATGTTCAATAGCTTTCACCTTAATTGTCAAAATTTAGTAATAAGGAATTTAAGCACGGATTTAAGGCTAAAACCGCCTTGCACAGCATGATAAACAACACCACAAGAAAGTACTGTTCGGTAGCTTTTAATCAATTTTGAAATTTATCTACGGATTGGGAATAAGGTTAGAACCACTTTCTACAACGAATATACAACACGATGAGCGAGAAAGTGCAATAGTAGTCACGCCTTTCGCTCTCAAAAGTGAAGAAGTTCTCTGCTGAATTTGAAGTAGGTGTTTTCAAAGATACCTATTTGTAGACTGTCACTGACTGTCCTCTATTTTATTTACCAGTCTCTTGGGCGGATGTTGGACGCGCGTCAGTTGGGTTTGAAGCTGATTGCAAATGTGACATTTGGATATACGTCGGCGCATTTTTCTGGTAGAATGCCATGCGTTGAGGTAGGTAACTTTCTTTTTTTACTATAACTGAGCACACTGGGAACAAAGACCAAAGTTGTTTGTCGACTTTCGAAATTCCACTCAAAAACGTAACACACTGTATATACACGTTTGACATATAAGGCGGAAAAACGTCTATGACAAATGAGGACGTTATTAACCGTGTCGTTATTAACCATAAAAGTGAAGCAGCGTGAGACAAAAGATGAAACAGAGAATTAACTCTGGAGTGGAAATTCAAGTGCTACAAATAACCCACAAACTCAACTGAGCGTTAGCCGCAGTAAAGGGAATTAGGAAACCATACGAGGCCAAAAAAAATCTTTTGACGTCGTTGATATTCGAACCCACGACTTTCAGATAACTGTTGCTAGTTTTGGACTAGACCGACTAAGCTACGAGGCCTGATCGAAGCAAGTTGTGGGTAATTAATGTGTAGGATCGCACGGAGGAAAGATAACCAATGAAGGGTAAATATATCAGGCCTCGTAGCTTGGTAGAGCAACAGTTGATGTAATCCACCAAGGTTGAATGTCGTAGTTTCAAAACCCAACGAAGTCGCAAGACTTTTCTTTGCCTCGTGTGGTCACCTATTTCTCGTTATTAACAATGTCTAGGCAACATTCTCCCTGAAGCAAAAGAGTAACATTTCAGTGGGTGAGGTGCACCGGTTTGTGAAAGGTTTCCGGTGTTCCATGTTAATGAGTTCTGTGGTCCGGTGTTTCTGTGTTCCAACGTTTCATGTCTTACTCTACCGGTGTTATGGTGTTCCGAGTTTCGTTTTTACATATTCCGGTATTCTGGTGCTATCTGCTCCAGTGTACATTACTTTCTCTTCTTCAAGTCATAATGTTGAAGGAGTGTTTAACTCCGTAGTGGCTGGCAAATTTGTCAGATATTTCCGACCAAGCTGGCGTTCCTCGCGTTTTTTGCCAGAAAGTCCAAACCACTTTTCCTTTTACTTCTGAAAAAATATTTCTGCGCAGGAGCGGCCTGCTTCCAAAAAGGTTTTTTTTTTTCAATAACTGAGCAATTTCTCGCTCGCTGATTGGTGGATGTTCGATAAGAGTACAGACCATGGAAATAACGTGATGGTGGCATAATTGGTTTTTCTCTTTCTCTCGCGCGCGATTTTCCGTGAAATCTGAACGGAAATGGACGTCAAAACTGTCAATAGAGAGCTTTAGATTTGAGGACGAGAACAAGTACGAGATTTAACTTAAAGTTTTTGCGCACGTTCTCCAAAAAAAGACCCCGGAAAGCTTGATTTAACTTTTTTCACCAAAAAAGTTAGTTCGGTTATTTATACTAAAGGAGGTTTAAGCCCTCTCTCGATAGCAAAATGATAAAACATCTTACATCTGATAACTTGTTCACGCCACTGCGCCATTCTCGCTAAAACTCGTAGTAGAATGACGACGGCCATCATGTTTTCCCGCCAAAATGACGCTTAAATGTACCGAGTATTGCTCACGCGTGAGCAATACTCGGTACTGAGAATATCACGTACTCGTAGGCGTCCTCGTCTTAGAATCTAAAGCTCTCTAATGTTATTGTAAAAAAAAGTCTACAGCAATTTTCCGTGGTTTGTACTCTTATCGACCGTAGAATTATCGTCAAAATGTTCAAAACTTTGCAGTAAAACACTTAACTTTTGAAGATTTCGACTTCAAATCTATGGTCGTATCCATCATGGATGATTGCTGTCGGTTTGCTAATTCGCTTCNAAAAGTTAGTTCGGTTATTTATACTAAAGGAGGTTTAAGCCCTCTCTCGATAGCAAAATGATAAAACATCTTACATCTGATAACTTGTTCACGCCACTGCGCCATTCTCGCTAAAACTCGTAGTAGAATGACGACGGCCATCATGTTTTCCCGCCAAAATGACGCTTAAATGTACCGAGTATTGCTCACGCGTGAGCAATACTCGGTACTGAGAATATCACGTACTCGTAGGCGTCCTCGTCTTAGAATCTAAAGCTCTCTAATGTTATTGTAAAAAAAAGTCTACAGCAATTTTCCGTGGTTTGTACTCTTATCGACCGTAGAATTATCGTCAAAATGTTCAAAACTTTGCAGTAAAACACTTAACTTTTGAAGATTTCGACTTCAAATCTATGGTCGTATCCATCATGGATGATTGCTGTCGGTTTGCTAATTCTCTTCTCAGAAAAATTTTGATTCGTTTTCTGTGTTTTGGCAGTAGCTTTTTTATTTTTAAAACTAACCTAATGGTTGCTTTATCTTGTTTTCAACGATGTTCTTCTTCGAGGACCATTGAAAAAGATGTTGCATTGAATTAATTACGTTGAAAGGGCGCAGCTCATCGAACTTTTCTCTTTTTTCCACGCCACGTTAGCTTCCCCCTCCTTTTTTTCAGGGGCTTTGTTTTGGCCGGGAACTGTTAGAGTAAAAACACACGTGTAAGAACTTAGTGCGGGTTTAAAAACATTTTCCATTTTAATTTATTTTTCTGGTGATCAACAGCTTTATCTCATTCATACGAAACACGAACCTAGTCTAATACTACTAAGCCTAAATTGCCAATAACTACCCAAAAATACAAGAACCTATTTTGCTGGACTTGGAAAAATGTGGGTTCTAACAGGCGCCGGGTTTTTACTTAAGGTTTTTACTGTATCTGTTTTTCAGCCTTGGTAAATCACGTGATGCGTGAGTAAATCACGTGAATGATCATGCAGTGAAATCACTTCCCTGCCCTCCCCCGCCCTCCCTACCGGTACTGCCGCTCACACTTATACTAAATACTAGTTAATATTTTATCAGAACCTAAGTATTTGTGAGGAAATTTGATAAAAGCACGGCTTTATACCTTAATGTTAAAACGAAGGTTTATCTTTTTGTAGATTGGTGATAGTATAGTGCGAAAGGCACGTGAGACCCTGGAACGAGCCATTGATCTCGTGAACAACACTCCGCGCTGGGGCGCGCGAGTCGTGTACGGAGATACGGACAGGTAACACGCGTGTTCTTGCTATTTTTTAGCCTCCCACGCGGACGTTCTTAGGGCTTCGATTGCTTGACGAGCCAAAAGAACGTCTACGTTGGAGGCTAGCTTTTTTACGTTGAGAAACCAAACAAATGCAAAATAAAAGTAATGATAGTGCAGTACTGTTCAATGGCTTTCCTATAGAACCACCCTGTACAGCAGGAAGGTCAAACTTTCGGATACAATAGCAGCAATACCTCAGGAAAATACTGCTCAGTAGCTGTCATTTTATACATCACACTTTAGGATACAATAACAACATCTCAGGAAAATAGTAGCTGTCATGTATTTCGCTGGTTTCTGTTTTTGGACCATCCACTTAGTCGAGAGGACACTTGCACCATTTTGTTTAGCACAATATGCCAACAGGCCCCAGCAAAGTTCCCCTCAATACCTTTAATGTTAATCAATGCCAAGTGAGTTTTTACTTTGAACAGTCGCAAGAAATTAACAGGATTATTTCAGTTAGGTTCTCGTCAAATCTCTCGAGTACATGCTGGACAAAATTCCAATAATTTACTATTTATTGTGCCTTGCATTTTGAAGTAATGTTGAAAATGGGTATTGTATGCTATTTTTGTATAGGAAGCAACTTTGAAGGTAATCCAAGAGTTTGAATGATCATAGATCTAAAAAAAGGCATTTTAGCGTGACTTGTTTTTCTCGTATTGATCTTGCGATCACTGTACGATAATCGACTCAAGTGGAGTATTTTATAATGCATATGTATTACGAGATTAAAGGCATTATTTAGCAGTATTGAGTGACTGCTTGAATGATAAGTATGCTAAAAAAGGGAACGCGGATACCTGATCAAAAATTCTGCACGCAACGTTGCATGTTGTGTAGAAAGTAAGACTAGATAATCTCAAGAAGGATGATAACGAAAGTCGTCATTACTTGTTTCAAATATAAGTTCTGTATTGAATTGCTCCTTGATTCGAATGCTAAGCAAAAGGAGAAAAAATAGTTTAAATAAAGCTACAGAACAGTTTTGACAGATCCACGGAATACTGATTTTGAATTTATTGTTTTTTTCTTAACTCGCAACGTAGGCACGTCAGGGTCAAACCACGTGCAATACATGTGCACATGTACGGTGTAAAAAGACACGGAATACTGGGCCGGATCTGCATAAGCTTCCTAAGCCTCTAAGAGCTTCCTAAGTTCAAGGGGTACGGGAAAATTCCATTTGAAAAATTGGAAAAAATAGCAATGGGTTAAGGAGTTATTGATGCGGACAGGGTTTACGTTAGGTTTTTTCCCCCCATTTTCCCTGTTTCCCGTTCCCCGTTCAACGTTCCCCGTTCCCCCTTCCTCCTTTTTGTACCCCCGCTGTAGAATAGGCCTACCATCGCATAGATGTGGTCAAAAATAAATTCAGGTTTAAATTTTCTTTAAATCTACGTTGATTTCAATTTCCTTTGTCTCCTATACTAATTATTCATGAATTAAGGCTAGTAGACAAAGAAAGTTGAGAATCAACCAAGGTGAAAAAAATTTAACCTGAATTTAATTTTGACCTGTAACATAAAGAAACATAGAAATTTTCTCCCAAGTCACATCGTAAGATATAACTTTAAGTATATTGTTGTGAATCTGTTCCTGAAGCAACTTCTTTTTTTAGTTTGTTTGTGCTGCTTAAGGGCGCAACCAAAGAAGAGGCTTTCAGCATTGGAAAAGACATTGTTGACACTGTTACAGCTATGAACCCTAAACCAGTCAAGCTTAAGTTTGAAAAGGTGTGTCTCATGCAGAGGTTAAGTAGAAAAATAACCGATGAATCAATGTTTTAATATTTTGTCACCTCTGTGAGCAGTTGCTAACGATAGTGTAGTATTGATTACATTGATTGTTCACAGCCACTATTTTTTTAAACGCAAACTAGAAATAGCGAGTGAAACGCGCGTGGGGAAGAAGCGCGACTTACCTGTCCAGTTCGCGCGTTCGTGGAATAAAAACACGAGAAAAAGGAAGGCTGCGAACAGTCTTACTTAAGCCAATGAGAAGGTGAAGCTACCTTAGTTTGAAAAGAGGGGTTATTTGCCCAAGAGCAAAATTTTGGCCTTTTCTTGAGTTCACTTTCCTAGTAGCTATGCAACTGCATAGCAACTGTTTCCCATCCTTATTGACATTGGTTGTTGTTTTCCCAGACTTCTGATTGGCTGGTTATGATTTAGTTGTGATTGGTTAGACTGCTTAGAAGTTGGTTCAACAATTTTCGGGCTTTCATGAGTTTCCCGCGCTTTGCGTTTTGCCATGCAGACTTCTGATTGGCTGGTTACGCTATGATTTTGTTGTGATTAGTCATTGGCTAATCACGTGATAAGATTTGAGTTTTATGACCATTATTAGAGAAACAACCTTGTGTGTAATTTCTGTTTCTCCTTTTTCCAGGTTTACTTACCCTGTGTGCTGCAAACTAAAAAGCGCTATGTTGGCTATATGTACGAAACTCTGGATCAAAAGGAACCCGTATTTGATGCAAAAGGGATTGAGACTGTACGGAGAGACTCCTGTCCTGCAGTAGCCAAGGTTTGTGTAATCCATAGCAAGTGGCCAGTGACCAAACTACTTGTTGCTTAATCGGGCTATGGCGGTCACATTATTTGTTATCTTTTTTAAAAAAGCTAAAACGTGTCTTCGCATCAACTGAAATGCAAAAATAATGGCCCAGTTTTGTTATTTGAGTCTATATTTAGGCACTGAAACCGTTTCCTGCAAGGATGGGCGTGGATTGAAAGATACACCTTTGGAGGTGGCTTTGGAGGTCCAAAGCCAGGGAAAAGCGCCCTGGGGACGAGGTTGTTGAATGCCATGCCTGCAAAAATCACTAAAAAATTATTATGATTTGTGCAACCTAATGAACTTTTTATTCATATCGTTCTCATCACTTTACAGCAGCATTTTGTGTGGACGTAATGTCTTAACGGCAATATCCTCGTGATATTGCCCCTTTAAGAATGATTAAGTTTAACCCAGGGTTAATGCAAACGAAATTTTCTTTCCAGAAACGTGCAACTGGAGCTCATAAAAATATCGTTGAGCTTAAGACTGCAAAACAGCCCTTTTTGCGTAGCCTAAGAACGCGCGAGCAGTCAAACAGAAAAACTGGAGAGAGGGCGAAAACAAAGGGCGTGTGAAACTCACTGGCGCTCTCAGCAAAAATCTCTCGCCTACCCTTCGCGCTGTTTAACACCGATTTTAAGGAAAAAAGCCGATTGTTTTGCAGTCCAATTGATCCTTTACTCCGAGATCCAGTTATAATAACACAAAATGATACTCTAAACAATGTATAGGGGGTATTTACAATCATGGATTAAGGTTTTATTCCAGGATTAGCGCTGATCGTTCTTTCAGAAACCGGACTCTAGTTTTAAGAATCGCTATAACTAGATTATAGATTTCAACGCACAGAGAATGGGCTAAAAAGAATCAAGTGTAGAGGTTGAAAGTGTCTTAAAATACCAGGTGGAGATCATATCCTTTAATCAGTGGAATTATCCTGTGGTACTAAATTTTTGCAGGAATTGATTTTTGCGGATGGAGAATTTTTTGGGAAAATTTTTGCGATTGGTGAAGACTGGCTACGGACGTAACAACAAAAACAGAAGTTATATTGAAACTCAACTGTTAATTATTTTTACATAATTTTACCACCCGCAAACAGCTAAGGAATTAATCGAGATGGGAGAAGAAAGACATATTTAATTTCCATCATGTTTTGAGAAGAATGGACGAGACATTAATGGCGGCACTTAACATAAAAAGATTCGTTCCTTAGTTTATTCTGTAGTTAGAGATCAGTCTTATTTTAGTAAATTGCCGATTGAGTGTGCTAATTGGTGCTATCTGTAGAATAGTTAGCTACAGTCTCTGAAAAAATAGGCTAGGCAGGAAAAGACAACATTAGCGTGCTACATGTTGCATGCCCACATGGGGAGATTTTTCTGTTGCTGAGATGACTGCTTTCTTAGCAACAGTTCGCAGGTGTGTTCTTGACAATCTGTTGTCGAGGACTTCCCGCAATGACACCCTAGACCAGTCGTCTTTTGCTTATTTTGAATGCGCTCAAGACGGTTGCTATTAGTAATTACTCCATGGTTTTTTTTTTGCATATATTTATGTTTGCACAGGACCAAAACATCTGTTCGGTTTTTCGCAAAAAAGAATTGAAACTACAAAATTTTGACGTACGAACAGTAAGCAAGTTTTTGTGTTGTATATGAAGAGCAGTGTTTTCCTTCTTGTTTGTTATACTGGCAACTGCAACCAGTTTATTGCATTGTCTGTCTATGAAAGCGACAATTGTTGCTATTTTGCACTGTTTTCTAACTACTTTTTCCTGAATCCTCAGATTCTAGAAAAATCGTTGCGGACTTTGTTTGAGACACGTGACCTGTCTTTGGTAAAGAAATATGTTCAGCGGCAATGTTCAAAGCTTATGGAGGGACGCGCTAGTATCCAGGACTTCACGTTCGCCAAAGAATATCGCGGCATGAAGAGCTACAAGCCTGGTGCATGTGTTCCGGCTCTGGAGTTAACGCGGTAAGAAAGAAGACAGAGCATGGGGAATTAATACCATCCACTACTGTTGCTTAGTTTTTAGGGAGCTTTAGCAACGACAACGATGACGGCAAGGTGAACGGCAAAAAAGTAATTGGTTTTATTAGCAAAAAAACAACTTTGCACGTGCATCACCCTTTTTTGTACATTTCTTTGCCCTCGCCGCACGTCTACGACCTGAAAATGCCTAATTCCACGTTTTATGGAGGACGTAAAGAAGCGACGACGAATTTTTTTTCTCTTTCTTCAAACTTGAGTGTGGTGCCCAATAAATCAACTCCAAGGAAATGCGCCTACATTTGACATTTTCAGCAAACTGGAATAAACGCGACAGAGTCTGAAATGACGCAACTCATTTCAAAAGCGACGTTTTCGCTGCCATCTCCGTCGTCGATGCTAAAGCTCCCTATTATCATCTTTTCTCATCGCGCTGTGTGTCGCATTTATGGGCCCAAAAACGGCAGCAACAACAACAAGAAAGAGATCTCTTTATCTCCATCCCTCAGAAAGGTTTAAAAATTAAAAATAAGGTCAGGACCTGTTCTTTGTCTGTTTTTTCTTCTCCTCAAACCAGTCTTACTTGGTAGAACTTCCAAGGAACTTAGAATGTCATCGGCATAGCTTTTGGTATCAATGAGAAACTCAAGGTTCACCACCGCTTCAAAGTGCTGATCTAACGTGAAGATAATGATCCGTTATGCCCACTAGCCAGCTTTGAGAATTTATCAAACCTTCCTGTACACTAAAAAACAAGATATCTTCTTTTCTTATAATCCTGGGAGCGAACGAAAGTCAGTGAAAGAGATTGTGGATTATACGCGCGTGATAAATTGCGTGCACTCTAAGCGCTGATCTAATGAAAGCTACCTATAACTCCTTGCTTACTCGTTAATGTGTCCTTGACCAGGGCTACCAGGAGTTATCATAAGATTATCATTTCTCTGTTTTGTATTTTTTTTCGCAGACGCATGCTCAGAGAAGATCGCCGATCAGAACCCAGAGTGGGGGAAAGAGTTCCGTATGTTGTGGTGTACGGTAGTCCAGGATTACCTTTAATTCAGCTAGTGAGGCGGTCAGTTTGCACACCGGTTTCTTTTTTCTTTTGATTAGCTGATTTCAACGTACAGCGTATAATGCCCAGGGGGTACTCCCTATAATGGCCTATAGGGAGGCCCCGACCGAAAGGGGTACCTTTGTCAGGCTTCAGTTATATGGAAGGGTAGGGATTTCACTAGTCGAAGTGTATGAAAAAGGTCGGGAAATCTGTCGTTGCGGTCTGTGATAGGGGTTACCGGTCGTTCGATACAGAGTTGTTTTGAGACAACTTTATTCTTTTCAGGTGTAAATAGTTGCACGTACTTGGCTTAAAGAACGAAGATATTTACCCAAAATGTTTTTCTTGTTACTTGCAAACTATGCTTAAAGTGAACAAAATTTTTGTGCAGTTTCACTTCTTGAGTTTGTATCGAAACGACGGGTTTCCGTGATAGGACCTAAAAGGCTAACAGGTACATTTTATCGCTGTGTAAAACAGCAAGAAAACTTTCTGGGTTAGCGATTTATTCATATTTAAAAGACGGTGTATTTACAGGAGTGAAAAGGGATGCAGCTGTCTAAACCAGTATGTGAAAGGGATACTATTTGTCAATGAAGGATATGCGAAAAGGCTATCTTGTCTGTCTAAAGTGGTATATAAAAGGGTAAGGGGTTTGATCTCAGGGCGTAGCCTCTCTCGCACAAAATTTTGTTGAGTACTCTTCCCCTCCACCCGTAGAGTTGCCATGTCTTAGTGACTGTTTTTTGTCCACAGACCCCATGAAGTCCTTCAAGATCCCGGTCTTCGCTTAAACGCCTCATATTACATTACCAAACAAATCTTGCCGCCGCTCAATCGCGTCTTCTCTCTCATTGGTATGGACGTATTTACTTGGTAAGTGAACTCTCTACATGCGGTCCAAATCACATAGCAATACAAATCTGTCTTGTTGTCACGTAACCAGGCCGAAGTTTCCGACGCTTGGCTATCTTACAGTTGAACTACTCCACAACGGCCACCTTGGGGACAGAATAAAGTGGCCGTTGTAGAGAGGTTTAAACGAGAGTCAATGTATAAACTGTCCGCCAAAAAAGTGGCCGTTGTAGAGAGGTGGCCTTTGCGGAGAGATGACCATTAGCGGAGGTTCGACTGTATTTTATGAGCTAGCTAATGCTCAGCACGCGTCTCGCGTTTCTTGCATAAACTTGTCACAATGGGGGACAAAAGTCCTTGAGACAGTGATGCAATACTCCCTTATTGTCCGAATTTTCAGCATGACTTCAAAACGCAGTGCGGCTGTTTTAGAAATGAGTTGCAGCTCCCCCTTCTCCACCCACTACAATGTAGCCTGTTCCAAGCGTTCAGATGTTGGAGTGCGGCACGAAGTCAGAGAGCGGGGGAAAAATAGAGAGGGAGAGGGAGCCAGGAAGATCTTGCTGTTCGTTTTTCCTGCTCACATCTTTTTGCGCCGTCCCCACAATCTTAACGCCTGGAACAGGCTAAATAGAATTTTCAAACTCAGGAAAAATTGCGGAAGCATTGCGGAATCTTAAGCAAATCATCGTTTTTGAACGACGAACGTCAACCTGTAGTGCACGTAATACATTCTTGGACTGTGGTTTTGCCCAAACGTTCAAGCAAATCGTCTCTATACCAGTAAAGACACTTAGCAATACAAATTTGGTTTCGTCGCTGAAAAACGACTTTGCTAAAGCCCCCTATTGTATGTAGGGTGGGGGAGGGGCTGGGGCTGGGAATGTGTAGTGTCATTTACGTGAGATTGATTGTGTCGCGTGCGTAAAAACCGCCACAACTACAAATGTGCCCCACGTAGCAAATTAGAATAACCGATTAATATTTGAGCCGTGGTTTTTGTAATATAGTCAACTCTTTTTTTTAAAAAAAATCGATACCTCCTTATCTGAATGGACACCCACCCAGTCTTGACTCCCCATAAGGCAAACCCCTCTGTTAGTCGCCCACTTAGTGCTGGTACCAGAGGTATCGACGTAAAAAACGGCGGCTACTGAATTTCGTGATCATAAACAACGAAACTTCAGCGCTTTCCGCTCGCCGTATACGCTTACAACTAGATCATAAATGACCTTACGTCGTTCAAATAAATTTCAAGGTGAGAAAATCAACCGCGCGCTTAATGATAGCATTATACTGATCTGTTTGGTTTACTGTTTTGCAGGTATGCAGAGCTCCCTCGTGTTGTTCGTGTAGCACAGCTGCCTTCAGTCTTGGGAGACAAGAAAAAGGTTTCTGAATACTTTTTTGTATTTCTTGTTTCTCGTTGATTTGAGGCGTAACTGAGAATGTAAGGTCTTGTCATACTTATATCCTTGTCTCGATAGGGAACTATTTCTCAGTACTTTTCTACCATGACGTGTCCCGTCTGCCAGGAATTAACTCCTACGGATATCTGTAGTAAATGTCGAGCCCAACCTCAGATGTCAGCTGTTACTCTCATGAACCGAATGCGCGGATGGGAACGGACTCACCAGCACTTGTCAGAGGTAAGCTATGACGTCATGCGGGTAACATTTAACCTATGTGACTTGTAACAACCTCTCCTTTACTTTGCAGATCTGTTACAGCTGCAGTGGGTCACGTGATAGCAAGTTGTGCTGTGTGTCTCTGGACTGCCCTGTTTTTTACAAGCTCGTACAGTGCACACGTGACCTCAAGTCATCCCAGCACCTAAGAAAGATTCTGGAAAGCTTTTAACACAGTGAAATGATATAAGTGGTAAATAGTATGACCGATGTAGTTTTCGAGCTGTCTCTAGTAACCTTATAGGGAACATTAACCAGCCACCTATGCTATGCAGGAAGAGAAATTACAAAATTTCGCCTTGAATGGAAAAATATTAAAGAATAGTGACAGATATAGTATTAACACATTGCAGATCTGATATGAGCCAAAGAAATTGGCTACGGTAAAATACGGCTGCCAATTTTTTTATGAGTTTTCTATATATTTGAGAAGACTATTCAAAACACCAAGGAAAAATAGGAAATAACTGAGGGCCTGGTTGTCTGAAGCCTGGTGAGCTCCAATCCAAGCCTGCAAATGCAGCAGCCGTCTTGCGAACCTACGGTCTCTCAGGGTCACGTGATGACGGAAACGCATTGAGGGTTCTTTGTCAGTCTCATTCTTCGTCGACGCACCGCGAAACGTCCCTAGCGCTTGGGGGAGCGATGAGAGGTGGCTTTATTCGTAGGCTTTTCTAATCCTGGGTTAAAGGGGTTGTGTCACGGCTGGCTAGTTCGTTTTGTTGATCAGTAATACTAATTATCCGTCCTTATTCGCTACAAATGGCAAGATCACAGCTTTTTGTCAAACAAATATATCTCCCTGGTATTATATCAAACGTTACAAACAACAGAAATACATTTTGAAAAACTGTTAGGCTAGCAAGTTTTCAAAAACTACAATTGTAATCCGTTTCAATCTTGTTCAGATTTGTCCATCCGTGTCTCCTTTTTTATTTGCTATGTTTTTTGTACCTTCTTTTCATGTTTGAACTCAATCTGGCGGCCGTTTCAACGGTCTGAGTTTAGATAAATTTTGTCACATAGCTCATTTAATTGTAACCAGCGCATACGAGTAGTTATGGTAGCTACTTCTGGATGTCCCCTAATCGCCTTCGGTCAAGGTCTATTGTGTAAGCAGTGTTTTAAAACAAAGTAATGAATATTTATATCTATTAATATTTATTATGAGAGGAATAAAGGTTTATTAAAGCAGCTAAAAGGCCGCTCAGTCATTCAATTTGCTTGAATCACAGCTTACTCCGGATCCCTAGGCGTTCTCTCTTGATCCGTTGTCCGCTTTAAGTCTGGGAAAGAGCGAGCAGTACAGCTCACGGTAGAGCTTGCGGTAGAGCGCAGGATTGACCGAACCGAGAACGCCTAGGGACTAGGCTGCTTGAATCATATGTTTCCATAACTGACCCTAAAACTGTGGAGTGTTAGAATGAAGTTCTATGTTGTGAGCATTCAAACGAAACCTCTTTCATAGCACATTTGACTCCATATTTGGTAACTTTGAGTGTTGGCCAGAACGATGAAGGTCATGAAGCGGTTTGCGGTACGTCTATACATGACGGTGGTTGTACAGTGCATGCCCTTCTTAAGCAGACCTTTGTGGCCTTGGCCTAGTCGTCCAAAACCCAGTTAGCAGGGACTTTCTGATCAGACGACGCGACGGCAGCGAAAACGTCGCTTCAAAAATGAATTTGCGTTTTTTCGGTCTTTATCGCGATTATTTCAACTCACTTTGTTAAATGTGGGCAAACACTCCCGGAACTGAATTTCTAAGAACCATATTCAAGTTGAGGAAAAGAATTGCAACGCTGGCACCACTGTCTTTCCCTGCCTTCACGGTTCTTACAACCTCCGCCCCCCTCCTCCTCCTCCCCGCACCTTTAGTCTAGCTTCTATTGTTCTTTCTTGAGGCAGGCTGCTACGCCAACCTCGTTTCCAGGTTCTTTTTTCTTTCCCTGAGAACGAGGTTGCTGTAAGCTGCTGCTACTTGGTGAAATAACGTGGTGATATTCAAAACTCAACTGCGAAATAATTTCCAAAGTCGTTTTGACTGTACTGTTCGTTACAAAGGAAATTCATTGCCTCTCTTATAAAGCAAAGCAACCTTTCTGCGGACGTGTTCATTTTCTTACTCTGCGTAAAGTGCTGGACATTAAATGCACACGTGATCATAGGACTGTTAGAATTTCGAAAAAGTCCTTCGTCCGCAGCCTGAAAAGCTCGCTCTACTCGCTCAGAAACTCTTGAGGGAGGGTCTCAATGGGGTGGTGGTTTACGGTTATCGGCTAAAATTTTGGCTCTTTTACGGCTATCGGTTAATTTTTTTTTTTCAGTTACGGTTAACAAAAAAGTTAATAATTAATTTCTTTTGTTTCAAAGGGTTGATAAATAATCAACGTGTATTTTTTCTACCTTTAAAGCAAAATATAGGTCTTAGAATCATCGCGGGATGAAATAAGCTATTCTTTTGAAAAATTTTAACATTTCATAGATCACACTTTTTATAAAGTATTCTACTTCTAATATTATTTTACGTATAGAAATGTCAATAGTCAATGTGAAAATAGTCTTGGTGAAAAAGCAAAAGCAGACACGCGAGCGCCCAACTCAAGGCTGGGGATCAACATTCATTTATAACAGAAATGGCCGTTTTCACATTAGAGATGGATTATTCGTGTGAGAAGGGTTATCCGTTTGGCAATTCGAGTCAGATAGGTAGTACGTCTTAATTTGAAAATGAAATGATTTTAATTTTGAATGAACAATCCGTCTGACTTTATCCGTCATTTTTGACGGACAGTTTGAAGATGGATTATCCGTTGTACAGCCGCCCCCTCCCCTCAGAAAAAATCGGAGAAGGGGTGTCTGTGGGGAAGAGGGACGACTGTACACGGGCTAGTCTCAGACGGACAATCCATTTCTAGCTCTAGTGTGAAAACGGCCAACAACAAAATGCCTGTGTCCACTGTTTTGAATGATAGCGAAGGACTGTACAGAACGACTGTCTGCCGTTGCCTTCTCTGTAGGCCTCATTATTCCGCGCGGCAAATGCGTTTCGGGTCACGTGTGCGAGGAGTTTTTTTTTCTCAGATACTCCACCGAAATACCCTGACCGAGATTGCGTGGGAAGACGACGTACAGGGACTAGGCATGGCAATGTCTACCGTAGCGTCAGAGAAAAACAGGGAATTGTTGTTTCCGGCAACGTGTTTTACAAACAGTGGCATCTCTGCGTGTTGTTTCACTAGCATTTCGAGGGCACGACCTCCTGAAAATCTCAAATATTAATCCCCAGCAAGAAGCCAGATTTTTTCTATGGAAAAAATTCGTTTACCGAGAAAGTGGCGGAAAAGGAGCTAAGGTCTAGGTCAACACCTAAAAGGCGCTTGGCCTAACGTGCGTACGGAGTCCAAGTACCCGGGAAATAAAAAACGCAACCATAGTGAGTTTAGCACCTTCCTTAAAATTAACAAATCTAAGAAACAATTTCTTTTACAGTTAAGTCTTTTTTACCCTATTTACGGTAACGGTTAAAATTTTTCAATTTTTACGGCTATAGACTAGATTTTTGGCCGTTTTACGCCTTGGACTTGTAGCAAGTCTAGTGGTCTGCATGAAGTCTAGCAAGTCCATATACTTCTTCTCGAGAGGACCAAAAACTAGATTTAATTTACCCTTTTCGATCGTTGAAGTCTGTGTTTCTTTCCCTTTTTTTTTTTCAGATTTTGCGGTTTTCGTTTGGTTTTGTTTGCTGTAGTGACAAAGTCGATAAAGTCATGTCCCGCTCTTTCCGCTAAGCCACCAAGCCTTGTCTCGATGCAGCTGAAGCCTGGTTCCACAGCTTGGTTGCCAAGTAAGGGTCACAGACGCTGCCCTGGAGTTTTGTTGTGTTTTCAGTGCTCTGTCATTTACAGCCTTCGATTTGTCTGAACTTTTAACCACAAATCACGATGTTTATCAGTAGTATGGCAAAGAGGAAACCTTCAGAGAAAGATTCATTTTATAACTTACGACCTTTACCCTCCAGAGGAACAACAAAGCGAAATCCCGATGAAGATTTCCTGCTGAGAGGTCGGCGAACTCCATTCAGGTGTGCTGTGTTCGTTATATACAAGCTTACAATATTTTTTAAACTCAGATTTCTCCGATTTGCCTTCTTGTGTCTTTTAAACAGTACTCACTTCTTCTAGTTGTGTGGTAAAAGTTAACGGGGCTCTGTGGGCAATCCTCTTGCTGAAAACAAACTCTCCACAGTGTAGTTCAGTTTCTTGTTCATGCTGCAAAGTTTCTTATTTTTATTGTTTAAGTTTACAACTTTTTCATTACCTAGAGCCTTGCTGTATATGAGGTTGCTGATTTAGACTCAATAGACCCTTTATAAAACAACTTGATTTGGAAACTTTAGAACTAGGTTGCAGCATTTGATCTTGTATAGTGCTCCCTGTCTGTCCTCCGTTTTGTCTTTGTCCTTGACAATTTAGTAAGCAGTCGCTTAAGAATTTGTTCATGCTTAGCGTGCGTATATCGAGTTATGGATGCATGGGGGAAGTTTGGAGAGCACGAAAGATACGCAAGAGTAGCACGAGGCGATAGCCTAGTGCAACTCTAGCTTCTTGAGTGTTCTCCAAACTTCCCAAGTGCATCCATAACTCGATATACGCACAGCTAAAAGCATGAGCAAATTCTTTTATAACATAGCTGACAAAAATGCTTGCTTTTTGATTAACTACAAAATTCTCATAACGCGCTACACAATAACAAACGCTTCTATTGGCTGATTACGAACACACCACAATCATCTAGTTTGAATGAAAATATTCTTTCTGTAGCTTTTCTGTAAAACTGAGAAAGAAAATTTGCTTCTTTATTCGTTAACGATCAATGGAAACTAAGCAGAAACAAAGGTAAAAGAGTCTTAAAGTTCACCTAAAGTTAAAATACTAACATGTTCGTAAGAAGTCGTGGAGCATGGTTTGGATTTGCTGAAAAGACGTTTTCTGGATTTCGCCGAGCACAACGGTTTTGCTCGGCGAAATCCAGAAAACATGTTTTTAGCGAAGACGACTGTCATCCTTCCTTAAACTCATATTTATTTACAAACATTGGCTGGTCATTACGGCTTCTTGAGAAGACCTGGCAGCAGTTGTTTTTGTGAGTAATAAATTTATGTCTTCTTGTGTAATTTGTGTTGTTATTGCGAGAGAAATCTTCCTGCTTCAGTCGGATTGTCCGGAGATAACAAAAGTGCATAACAAATTAAAAACAACAATAAAAACAGAAATTTAACCTCTTAATGTTGTTGATGACCAGTTGGTGTCTGTTCTGTTCCCAGTGAATTTCTTTTGGCCAAAATTTGCTGCAGCTGGTCTTCCGACAAATTTGCGAAACGCGCAACATGCAAGTTTTTTTAATTCGGCTCTATTTTTGCTGCTTGTTGGATCAGGACCTAAAAGGTCAATGCGGATAGAAAAATTGGGCAGTTCTTCGCTGGTTTCTTCCATATTTTAAAGAGAAGGAAAACTGCACTGCAGCTTAAAAGGCGACAACTCTGCAGCCAGGTAAAACAAAATGTTTACGTCATCTTATTGTGCGTAAATAAAGATTTTGTTCATAGCGGCTCAATAGGACTTATATAGGGCAAGCAGGCGCGCTATGTTATAACGTAAAGTGGTTATCGGTTTGTGTGCAACACGTATATTGTAAGGTTGTAATATACATGCAATAGTTTCAGAGGCGCCTCTGATGTGTGGTATAGTCACTGTCGTAACAGGGCCAGAGTTGGTCTGAGTGTTGGAATCAGTATTACTGTGAGTGTTACGTCTAACAAAGTCCGTGTTACGTCTAACAAAGTCCGTGTTCTTACTAAAAACGTTGTTAAGATAATCAGTCTCGTCTTGTAGGCTGTCAAGTGAGTCGCAAACTAGTTGCGCTCGTCTCGTCAGAGTCCGGATAGTAGTAGCCTTGTGAGAGGTTGGGTTGTACAAAGACTTGTCTGGTAATTGATCGGTATGTGTCGGTTTTCTGTAAGTAGTCGTTTTTAGTTTGTTGTTGGCGCAAGTGACCAAGCAGTCTAGAAAAGGTATCTTACCATTTTCTTCGATCTCCTTGGTGAACTAGTCACAACAACAGTATACAAGATCAAATGCTGCGACTGCCAGGCTTCTTACATTGGTGAAACCAGCAGAAACTTAAGCATGCGACTGACTGAACACAAACAAGCGACGAAGAATGGTGACGTCAACAATCACATTGCTGAGCACCATTTAAAGACGAAACATCAAATTGACTGGGACTCTGCGACATGTATAACGTATTCTACTGACTACTATCAATGTCTTACTTTAGAAAGCTGGTTTACTAACTTACAACAAACGCCACTGAATTGTAGCCAACAGTTACCAGCGCTGTACAAACGACTTATTGACGAGATCAAGCAAAACTAACTACGAGAGAATGACAATTTGACAAACAATAGACGGATCGAAACGCACCAATTACTGATTACGAGTCTTCATAGCCAATATGATCACGGCTTAACTGACAGACGACCAATAACATCACGACATAATTGACCAATCAAATTAATAACCAGAGTATAATACCATCAACTGACGTGATACAACTCACTTTGACTCTGAAGATGACTACTGCACAGGTTGTCGAAACGTCAGTCACTGTCAACAACAACAGTCCTATTCACGACTACGTTCACCTGGACAATCAAACTCAACCTACTTTTGAAGATATAATATTACTAACCTTTTTTTAAAAACTGACTGGCATAATTTGTTTTGCCCCAATATGGTACAAGTATGTAATCATGTAGCTTACATAATTATTTTTGTTCTCATTTAAAGTGATGTCTAGTTAGAAAATAATGATCAGAAAGCAGGAGGTTATAAAATGGGTTCCCAAAATTTGAGTCAAATTTAACCTTCTTCTTGTCTACTATTCTTGGTTTTCAAATGTCACAAATTTTATGTGCAGTCTTCAGTTATGTTCTTGCAATTCTAAAACAAAACAGATTCTCTTGCAGAAATCTTCTCTTAAAGGGGTGTATTAAATGTAACTGTGGAATTCCCAATGGAAACTATGGAAATTCGAATGCTGGTTAAGAGCATACAACTAACAACCTTTAAAGAATTAATTTCCACTCTTTAAGTGCCATCACTTACAGTAAATATTCATAACATATATACAACTAGTTCACAAAACGCATACAAAGGAGCTAATTCCCCAAACTTACATGACACTACACCCTATGGGTCTCAGAAAATGTTGTGTGGTAGGTCTCATTTGTGTGTGTGTTGATTTTGGTCTCAGAGTCTTGAGCTCTTTGGTCTTTAGTCTTGGATTTTAAACTGCAGGTCAGTATCCTGGCAGGTCTTAAGATTTTGCCACCCTTGACAAAGTTTTCAAATAGTTCTCAATTTTCAGCCCTAATTTTCCTTGTCAGTTACTTACAGCAAGTTTAGATTACTGCACATATTTTTACGGAAAATGAAAGTCTTACTTTGCTGACGTTACTTTTATTCACTATCTAGGATAAAACCACAGAATTATCGCACCAACTCGGAGATGACCATATCAACCACAGGAAAGTCAACTCGGCAGAACACGAGATCTCCTTCACGGCAATCAGTTAGCTTCCAAGAGTTTCACCAATCTTCAGATGAAGAGTTGGATCCAGATGATTTAGCTCTGGATTTGTCAGAATTTGATGATGGCCCTGAAGAAGAATTATTAAGACTCCAAGACAAAAACTATTCAAAAGATATGTTCCTGGATGGCAGCATTAATTCAGACAGCTGGTTTATAAATCCAGTTCATCGCATGACAAGCCCTCCTGTTAACATTGAAAAAATGGCACGTAGGCGACCTTTAAAAGCGGCTGTTTTGAAGACTTCTTTAGAGGGAAACATTGCAAGTGATCCTACTGAAGACATTACAAAAACGCCAATCAGGGATTTTGATTTGTCTGTTTTTAGAAATGCCGAAAATCAAATGTTGTCATCGCGAACCTTAAGTGCCTTGGCAACTCCATATCAGGAAGAACTAGCCCGGTTGAAGTTGGATAGATTACGTCTGGAGGAGGAAAGGCTCCTAAAAAAGAAATGTCATGATGAACTTGAAAGAATAAGGGGTCCTAAGCCCAAGTGGTATGAACTAAAGACTCCTGAGTTTCATCGTGAAGCTAAGAGAAACAATGACATACTATCATTATCAGGACACTATGAAGATATTATGGAATATAGACAGCAGCTATTGTCTTGTTTAGGAGAAGAGAAAGTTGCTAATAAGTGATTAAGATACTCGACCAGCAATTAAGTAGCACGCAGTGTGTACACATGTATGCTAACGACTGGATCGGAAAACAAACATAGGGAACAACTACTAATGTTAGGGCATGAAAAAAATCTTGGTTAAATTAGCTGCTTTATGTAAAAACTATGTCAGTCTGTTGCAGGGTAAATGTGTATCATATACGTGTAAATAATAGTTTTAAGATTAAAAGTATGGTTATGAAAAAAACTTATGGTGTTAAATAAATATTATTAATAAACAACTTGATGTAAGATATTCACTGATAACCTAACTACATACACCAACCTTCTCTATTTTTTCTTTCTTTCTTTTTTTCTTTTGAGGCCCAAACTGGAAAACTCAGCAAAAACCAAAAAGGGTTGAGACAGGACAAAAGTACCGAAGACTGTTAGCTGTTCAACTGAAAGCCTAGAAACTATCCTTTGTAAAATTGAAAATCATATTCCTTTGTTCTGTTGTTCAGTGAATTTTTCCCTGTTATGGGGTGATTTTCACTATTAATTGGAGTTGTATATATCATCTTGGGGTCTCTTTCTTGGGGTCTCTTTCTCTCTCTCTCAAAGTTGATTAGCAATTTTGTTATTGGATAAGGCCGTATATGATTTGAAGAATTATACAGATTGAGGATGTGTTGTCCTTCTCACCTCTGAGATCAGCATAATTCTTTGTATTACAGAAAAACCAAATGTAATAATTATTATTATTTCAGATTTTTCAAGTGTGCTTATCTCTGCTAGTTTACATTCACATCTTCAAAACAGTAGTTTGTTTCCCTCCAGCCTACGTTTAGCCGCACCCTCCCCCCGACAAAGGAAAAACGGAGAGAGGGAGCATTGCTCTACACATAGGCAAGTCAGTCCCTCCTGAGCTGTCAGAACCACTACCCAGATCTGGGTAGGGACGTGTCATTAGTATGGAATTTCTGCGCTCATTCCTCTGACGTCATTTCGTGGGGAAACCAGTGGTGGGGTTGCAAAATGTCAGCTGTTTTCCCAGGTGAATTCCTGGCACGGAGTAGTAGAGGGCTGGAAGGGAGACTGGGAATGAAGTTGTTGTGTTTTAAACTGACAAACTCAAAAAAGGCTAAAAAGTCCTGTTTTCAACTTACATGTACGTTCTATTTATTTTCTCCCTCCCGGCCCCCACCTCCCCCTCCCACCCCCACCCATTTCCCTTCCCATTCTTCGTTACCAGTCCCTCAAGCGCGCGAGTTTTAAACTTAAAAACATGGCGTCCATTATGTGTATTTTTCCCTTCGCTACATCTTCGTTTGTCAGTGTTTACACCACTTGATCACTTCCTATTTTTGTAAAAATGATGACTTAAGACAAAGGTTTGTGAAAATGCGACGTCTGTCGCAGACCTGGAAGCAGAAGAGAACTTCTGAACGATCTAGTAACCATGTTATCAAACAAAGAATCCCCAACGTTCATCAAATAAACGATGACAAAGATTGCCGACGCAACTCATCCAAGGTGAGATATATACAAGAGATACACCCTTTAAGATATAAAGCTGTCATAGCACTTGCAAAATTATCGATCAAAGTTAATTTGTCGCGTGTCACAGCATTCTTCCTTGACTTGGGATTTGGAGTAATAGTAAATTATCCATTTCCCTGCTAGCAAAGGCCTTTTTTCCCTGGTACTTGGCGGGTTGGAGAGACATCATTTCCTTCCGTCCGCCAAATACCAGGGAAAGGGGCCTCTACTAGCAGGGAAATTGTCCATTTCATTTATGACAACTTGTGAAGGTTGTTGTTTCCTACAACGCAATTAAAGGCAGTGTATTATTGCTCAAATGTAAGTCTTATGTCTTGTATTCCACTCAACGTTGCCCAGAGTTTCAGTCTGCAGGATAGTGTACATGTGCAAGAAACATGTTTTCGTTGTTTTCTTCATTTCTGTGATATTATGGTGGGTTCACACTAGGACTAAGTTTAAGTGCACTTGAATTGCACTTGAGTTCAAGTGTACTTGAAAAACACTTGAAAGTGCACTTAGCTTTTTGCTAAGAAATGGCGTTGACACATAAGTTAAAGTGATCAGGTTTGGCGGCCGCGGGACTAATCTTTCTCCCGGAGTTTAATTAAATGGGAAAATGCTGCTGTGCATTTGTTTAATCAAAATGTTCAGAGGACAAGAGTCTTAGAACTATTGCAAAGTGTGATTTTCCATTTATTGACAACAGTCTTCTTGAACAGTGCCAAAACAATAAGTACAAAAATGCGACAGATATGGTTTCATCGAAGTAATCAAAGTAGGGGAAATCCTCTTTGATCTTCTTAAAGCATTCCACGTCAGTACATGTATTTTGAGCTTGTTGCTTCAAGTTTTTAAAATCGTATTCCAGAGTTTGTATTCTTTTCTTAAGCTGAGGTGACGTTCTGATGCTTTCAACAAACCGCTCTTTATACACAGGAAAAAATAACGGATTCCCATTTTTGGACATTTTAGGGTATTTAAAGAATACCCATAAAAATCCCAAATTTGGCAAAGTGAGACAAGTCCCAACCAGGGAATTCCCAACTAAGTTCCCAGGTTGGGACTTGTCTCACTCTTCCAAATTTGGGATTTTTGTGGGTATTCTTAAATACCCTAAAATATCCAAAAATGGGAATCCGTTATTTTTTCCTGTGATACCTGTCAAAAATTTCACTCCAGATTCACTTCAGTCTCACTTCAGTCAATAAGCACTTTAATTATTCATACTTTGGTCCCCACTCTTGCTAGAGCTCTCCTTCTGTTTCTTCTGTTTCGTATGCACTTTTCTGGTTTGCTTGAATTTCTTTGAGTAGTTGAATTGACTTTTAGTTTCTGTTTCTTTCATGAGTCATATGGTTGACTCATCTTGTAAATTATGACAGCTTCTTACTGCAGGTGGACTCAAAAAGCTGGCTTGAACTGGTTGAAAAAAAGAATAAACTGCATTCAATGAAGTGCACAACGGGGAAATCACTCTTTGCGCAACATAGGTCATTTTGTTTTCACAGCCAAGTCTTGCATTAACGTGGTGTCTGTCAAATAAAAAAAGAAATCATTAAGTTTCTGAACCAACTCATGAATCAGAACTGAGAAAAACCTACCTATATTTTGTGGAGATCAGTATCCTCTTTCATGCTTGGTCATTTGAGAATGAAAATTGTGGCTCGAGATGATCGACACGTTGATAATAAACTTCCTGTGCTTTGATTGGTTTAGTGAAATCTAAAGGAAGGTCTTGACCTTACTTGAAAGACATAGTGCAATTCGGTAATTTGAGGTTTTGAAGTTTCTGTGTCAACTAAGTGAGGAAAAGGGAAACAGAACCCATTTACACACAAGTCTAGTCTATTAAGTGCACTTCAAATGTAAGTTTCAAGTGCACTTGAAGAGTCCGGTGTGAACCCAGCCATTACATCAATGGCTTTGCTCTTGCAGCACTCAGTGGCCCTTGGCGCCTTGCCTTGCTCTTGTGTGGCTTAGAAATCTTAGCTTTTTCAGGAGATGGGCTCCTGGCTTTTTCATATCAATTCTTTATTGGGCACCCTGGATTTCACAGGATTACAGCATTGGGCTTCCTTCAATGTTTCTTACAGCACAGAATAATCCTTTTCATCATAAAAAGAGATCTTTTCCTTTCTCTACACTCTATTATTCTCATTAGAGCACACGAACATGCTTTTCATATGAAAACTTCTTTGTGTTTTAAAGTTTTGGTGGCTCAGCTGAGTTACTAACAACTCAGACTTCAGTTCTGTAGGGTTGGGTACATTGGCCTTGCCATGCAGTTGTTTTTCCTTAAACAAGAAGCTTTGCCCCACTTTGTCTCTCATGGAGAGCCCTGTTGATGGGACTCACATCCCATCCAGTGGGGAGTAGAAATACTCCTTGTCATTTCATGTCATGGAAACCACGTTAAGCCCTGAACTGATGGGCCGTTCGGCTCGTTTTCAGACTTTACCTTTAACTTACATTTTTTTACTTCATAGAGAGTGTTTTAATATGTTAAGGAAATTAATGTTGATAAAATGGATACTAGGAATGACTGAATAAACAGTTAAGTTAATGAGTATTAATTGCATTGTTTCAGGTGAATCAGTCCCCAAGTGCTTCTTTCAACTTGTCATTTGGGTTTGAGTTTGATGCCGCAGGATTGTCAGAAGTTGATAAAATGGAGCAATTACATCTCTGTCATAACCCTGCTCTGCAATCTCCTGTTACCGTGCCTCTAAAGGATGCTGCAGAAGGAAATATTACACCAAAGATGACCCTTCAGGCCTTTTCTCCACATATTAACAGCAGCAAAACGAATGGATCTGCATTGAACAAGTTTGGACGTGCCAGGGAGCGCATTTCTACGCCTATTGAGGACTCTGAACATGTGGCACTGTTTTTGTCAACTCACTCACCTGTGTTTTCTCCTGTCACTGGTGCTTTCGAAAAATTTGAAAATAGCAATGACAAGTCACAAGCTTTGAGAAGGAGTTTGGTGAATCAAGCTGCTCATGATAGCAAAAGGTAAAGCCATTATCATAAGTCATATAGATAATATAATATTTTATAAACTAACTAAGATAGTAGGCGCATTCTGATTGGTTAAAAACCTATGGTTTATTATGCCTGGCCCAGTAAACTCATAGTTTACTTAAAGTTATTTTATAAAAGCAATAGACCACACTTTCTTTGGGTTTACAGGCGTGATAACCCACTTAGGATGTTGGGAGAACACTCGAAAAGCTTGTAAACCCGAAGTAGTCAATCAATAAAAATCGGTATTGATTTATCAATCGATAAATCGATAAAAATCGGTAAACCTGATTTGATTTACATCAACTGTATCAATCAATCGGTAGAATCGATGACACACTCGTTTCGTTTATCGATTTATAAATATACTATTAGATTTTACCCATTCCATTGATTTTTATTGGAAGATACATCTGTTCTTCTGTTCATCCAAAAATGAAAACTGATTTCTTGCAAACAGTGAATTTGTTGACAATTGAGTTGCAATTGAGAGTTGAAGGATCAAACAATTTATTATCACTTTTTTAAAAAAAGGTTTAAAAAATCTTATCTTTTCTTTAAAACCTGCTAGGCGCTTTAAAGTCTTCTTTGGATGGCCAGTATTGTTCAGGTTTTTTATTTTTCCCAGTTTTTGCACAATTTAGATCTGCCGCCCTTTAGTTTATCAATTTTCACCAATTTCCGTCATCAATCTTGATTTTTATTGATACCGATTTTTATTGATTGAGTACTCTGGGTTGTAAATCACTTGCCTCAGCTCATGATTTACAAGTTTTTCTGGTGTTCTCCCAACATCTCGCATGGGTTATCATGCCAGTAAACTCATATAAAGTGTAGTCTATTGCTTAAATAACTTACATCAGGTTCCTAAAAAACGAGGTGAAGCCAAGAGTTTTTACTCCTTATAATACACGACTGTGAGTTTTTTGAACAGCTTCAAAATCTCTGATATAGATCAACTCACTACTGCACTAATATTTAGGGAAAGTTCATTTAATATAACAAGGGGGGGGGGATGAAGATATTGAGGGGGGGCTCCGAAAATTTTTAGACACCCGAAGGGGGGGCTCTGAAAAAATTGTTGCGCTAGGAGGGGGGGCTCCGAAAATTTGTATACTTCAAAACCAACACATGACATCATCATACAGATCGGATGGTTTTCAACTCAACAATTTANACTTTCTTTGGGTTTACAGGCGTGATAACCCACTTAGGATGTTGGGAGAACACTCGAAAAGCTTGTAAACCCGGAGTAGTCAATCGATAAAAATCGGTATTGATTTATCAATCGATAAATCGATAAAAATCGGTAAACCTGATCTGATTTACATCAACTGTATCAATCAATCGGTAGAATCGATGACACACTCATTTCGTTTATCGATTTATAAATATACTATTAGATTTTACCCATTCCATTGATTTTTATCGGAAGATACATCTGTTCTTCTGTTCATCCAAAAATGAAAACTGATTTCTTGCAAACAGTGAATTTGTTGACAATTGAGTTGCAATTGAGAGTTGAAGGATCAAACAATTTATTATCACTTTTTTAAAAAAAGGTTTAAAAAATCTTATCTTTTCTTTAAAACCTGCTAGGCGCTTTAAAGTCTTCTTTGGATGGCCAGTATTGTTCAGGTTTTTTATTTTTCCCAGTTTTTGCACTTTAGTTTATCAATTTTCACCAATTTCCGTCATCAATCTTGATTTTTATTGATACCGATTTTTATTGATTGACTACTCTGGGTTGTAAATCACTTGCCTCAGCTCATGATTTACAAGTTTTTCTGGTGTTCTCCCAACATCTCGCATGGGTTATCACGCCGGTAAACTCATATAGAGTGTAGTCTATTGCTTAAATAACTTACATCAGGTTCCTAAAAAACGAGGTGAAGCCAAGAGTTTTTACTCCTGATAATACACGACTGTGAGTTTTTTGAACAGCTTCAAAATCTCTGATATAGATCAACTCACTACTGCACTAATATTTTATAGATTTGGGCTTATTTTGGTCTAAAAAATTGAACGTTAAGTTTAGCCACGGGTGTCTTTATTAGATATTACGACACTCATGAAACATTAATTTCTTGTGTTTTTCCTTTATGAATTATTAATGACTTTCTGAATTATTTTTCCTGACTACCAAAACAAATGGCCAAACAATGGGTCTTAGGTACCAAAGAGTTCACTTAATCATTTAAGAATTTATCTATAGTCCCTTTTTGGTTATACTGTGAGTGCCAGTCACAATAATAAAAAAATTGGAACTGTCTCTTTTTTCATCTTCCACATTTGGGCTATTTCAATTTCCAAATTAATCCCTATGCTTTGGGAGTTTCTTGACTACCTTTATTGAAGTATCTGTCACATGGTATTGCCAAGTTTAGTCAATGATTTGGCATTTATTATTTTTAGCATCCTTTATCATGATGCTAGGTTTTTTATAATCATAAATTAATAATAATTATTTATCACTACTATCTGCTATTTTTTTCTTTAGTCAGCTATCAGTGGCTCTTTCAGCGTCTCTCAGTAGGAGCATCCTGGAGCCTGAAGTAAGCAACTCTGGGAGCCCCTTGGAGCTATCCTCCTGGGGCCTCCCTCCTGAGGTTCTGAGAAAGTACAATGAGATGGGGATCACACATATGTTCGAGTGGCAAGCTGCTTGTCTACGAACAGGAAAGGTACTCACTGGAGGTGAGTTAGGAAAATTAAATTCTTACAAGTGATTATTAATAGAAGGGGAGGCTGTTCCCAAAGAAAAGTAACCCCTTTTTATACCTTTTGTTTAAAAATGGTACCCCTTTCACACACTTAGTTTAGAATGTTGTATAAAATTCCTTTTATCATATTATATACAAAATTTAATCGAAGTCAAGGAGAAGTCCTCCTACAACCTTAGATCAAATGATGAACTGTTACTGGCCTCACTGACATTCAACTCTAAAAAGACCTTAGGCGACAGGGCTTTCCAAGTGGCTGTGCCCACTCTATGGAACAAACTTCCAAGAGTATTTAGTATGGAAACAAGCTTGAAGCCTTTTAAAGCCAAATTAAAAACTTTACTTTTTAAAGAAGCCTATGATTTGTAGATTTACGACTCATGAATGACTTATCAATTAACGTTTTTAAGATCAGTCACTTAGTTTCAATACATTTTTTTTAATTGAATCTTGCAATTGCCTTTTTAATAATTATTGTATATATGGAGAGAATTATGCTAAATTTTTAGGTTTTTTTTAAAGAAATTTTACACAAAATTTTATATAATATTTTGATTTTAATTTTTAATTAGTTATTTATTTATTTTATTTGTTTATTTGCTTTTTTTCCTTTTTTTGTTGTTAGTGTGCATTAGATCATATATTTAAATGCTATTTTGCACCGTATAAATATTAAAGTATTATTATTATCATTATTATCTGCTCTAAAGGTATGAATACAGTCAACTCTCTGTCAATGGACACCTCTATTAGAAGGGCACTTCTCTGTAAAAGAGAGACCGAGAAATGGTCCCTCCCTTTATTTGACTCTCTGTAAGACGGGCATCCCTCTTAGATGGACACTTAGTGCTGGTCCTGACGGTGTCCATCTTTAATAAAGAGAGTTGACTGTAAATCACCAAATTAGGAAGTTTTTTTGGCTTTTTTCACGTACCCAAAAGACGCATCCGTTAGCCGTTTTAGGTCCTTTCATAGACTGCAATGACAGATGTCCCCAATACTGTTCTACTTGTAAAATTCCTACCCTGCCACATGTCTAAAACCTGAAAAAGGTACCTCTTTCGGGCGGAACCTCTTCGTAGGCCTATATTGGGATCCGCCCCAGGCCCCAGGTGTCATGTCTTTTCATCGGAGTAGCCTGCAAAGTAGCCTGCGAACAGCAAACGCATTTCCGGTCGTCGCTTCTCTCCCTCCGAAAAATATTTTTATATATAATATATTTTACTATTTTTCGGAGGGAGAGAAGCGACGACCGGAAATGCGTCTGCTGTTCGCAGGCTACCTGCAAAGCGGATACGTGTACTTTTATCAGTTCAGTTTTACAATGTTTTCATCTTTTTAGGTCAGCTTCAAAGCTTTTGTCCGTGACACTATGTCTTCAACCGCCCTCACAACATAAACACATAAATAAAATAAAATATATAATTAATACAATGTAAATGGCACGCAAAAAGAGCGTTACCTGCCAGAGAGGGGGGACTTGCGCGTCCTTTTCCCTCGTAAACGTTGCTTTTGATCCCACGTTAATTCCAGGTATACATGTACTTCATATTTTAAGTAGTTTCCACACAGGCCCCCCGCGAGATGGTCGCGCGTTTTATTCGCTTTACTCTCTTTGACAACACAAGGAGTTTCATGCCGGGGGGAGGGGAGGTGCGGGGGTACTCCACACATCTTTATACGGGGAGGCTCCGCCCCGATGTCCGACCCCTTACTCTTTTATGTACTATTTCTGAGAGAAAAGGTATCGCTTTCGTATACCTTCCATTGACAAATCTTACCCCTCTCAAAAACCTAGCTTAGAACTATGCATTCGTTTTCGCTGCCGTAAATTTACTGTCTTTAAAAATAATATAATCAATAATTCACAAAACCAGAGCGTTTTCTCAACGTTTTCACAGCCATAACATGCATCTTTTAGCCCCATTGGGCCTTTTTACACACCAAAATGACAGATTTCACCACCTTTTCATACACTTTAAGGCGTAAAATCCCTACCCTTTCATATACCTGAAGACTGAAAAAGGTACCCCTTTCCGGCGGAGCCTCCCCGTATAGGCCATTATAGGGAGTACCCCCCCCGGGGGGAGGGCTTCTCGTAGTTTAGGTCAGCGATTAAAATGTCGATATGTTTCTTGCAGGCAATTTGGTGTATTCGGCCCCGACAAGTGCAGGGAAAACCATGGTAGCAGAGCTACTTATGTTAAAACGAGTGCTGGAAACAAAGAGGAAAGCGCTCTTTATTCTGCCCTTCATCAGCGTCGCACGTGAAAAAATGTTTTACCTGCAGGTAATTACCGAAGCTGTATAGTACGTAAATGAAATGGTTTGAATACAGGTTGCATGGGTGTGTTTCGGCATGAATGTAATCCTAAATATTCTAAACTTTCGACAACCTGCGCATTCATCGCAGTCAAAGTGAGCTCTGTGTCGTAGAGTTCGGTATTTAACTCTGCTTTATATTGACCTGATAAGTCAGTTAAGTCGCCACCTAACTGACAAGTTGAAGAGTCAGTCACTTCTTTTGCGTGCAGTGCTCTCCTAATGTAGATGGTCATTGCGTCGGAAGGGCGAATTTCTAAATGCGTTTCTTATCGTATTTTTGTCTATTTTTGACGCAACTTTTTTAGCTGCCCTCGCCCCATCATTCCTCTTGGTGGCCGCACTACCAATTCGTAATTGCTACTCATAATTAATCTATTCATTAACGAAGGAAACTATGCCCAAAGATCTTCTTTAACAACCATACTGTACTTGTTCTCTGTCATAACTTTGTAGTAACGATTAAACATTTTAGACCGTCAGTTGAGCTGTTCAGGAAAACATACTTCCAATGCAAATGTAAGGAAGCCATTTAGCGAAAGTAAGAAGTTAGCTCGAATAGCCAACTTCGCAGCGTTTTCTTCTCAGATTTTCTTCAGCATTTCATTTTGTAACGTGCGTTTGGCCTACGATGACGACCGTAGACGAAATTCAAACTACGAAAACTTTGAATTTTCGCATCTTTCGTCCTTTTTAGAGTGCACACCAACCCCGACGTTTACAATGAGGCAAATGAGGCAAAAAAATTAAAACGAAGATTCGCCCTTATGCGAGTTTTGCCATACCACGTGCGTTTATGAGAGTGTAACGGCTTTTATGCACAACTTAGTCATGTCTTGGTGAAAGTTAAAAGCGCTTCTGTCTTGAAGAACCATTCCGTTGAGCAATCACCTCCTCCCTTTTCATTCAATTTTGAAACACCAGCTGCTGGCTCCAGTTTTTCGAAAGGCGGATAGTGCTATTCACTCGATTAATTGGTTTCCCTAATACATTTTTGCTGGATAGTGATTTATCCGGTGAATAGCGCTTTCCAACATGTAATACTGAGATCACATCTGAATTAAAGCCTGTTTACATTGTGTAATCCACTCAAACCCTCAAGACTTGAAAGTTTCAATTCTTTTCCACTTTTGTTTTTTCAGCGTCTATTCCAGGAAGCAGGGGTACGTGTTGAGGGGTACATGGGCAGCCACGCCCCACCAGGGGGGTTTGTATCTGTAGACATAGCGGTTTGCACCATAGAAAAAGCCAACAGTCTGCTGAACAGGCTGCTAGAGGAGAACAAAGCGCTGTCTTCTCTCGGAATTGTTGTTGTGGATGAAATGCATATGATTGGTGATTCACACCGTGGCTATCTGCTAGAGCTGTTTTTGACCAAAATACGATACATCGCTGGGTGTAATGGCGAAACAGAAACGAATAGAAGTGAAGGTAAATTATTGACACTGAACACTAAAAAGAGGTTTTAGATTCAGCATAAAGCAGAGTCTCACGTGCTTTTCTCTTCCCTCATTTTTCTTTGACATATTGTACGAGAATACGCTAACCACCTTCTCTGTCACTTGGATGGTAAATCAAGCGTCATTCGATCAAACTCGATTTCCTCTGCCTTATGTATTCTAAAGCAGGAAGATTTTTAATCATTTCATTGAATTTTTCAGCGTCCCTGATCGATGACACTTTGCCTTTGGTTGGCAACGAGATAAACATTGACTAAACAGTTCAATTTTTGTTTTGATTTTAGTTGTTATAATAGCATTTCACACATCGGTAAATTAATATTTCCTTTGGAATTGCTAATTCTCCAACCAAATGAACTTTCTGTCTTAAGAGCTTATTAAGACATTTTTAGGAGACATAGTGATCGAGTGGTTAGAGCGTCGGACTTTTATTCCGGAGGCCCCGAGTTCAAGTCTCGCTCTGGCCCGGGTTGCTCGAAGCATGGTTAGTGCTAACCAGCGTTAAGTACCTTGGAAACCTATACATTTTGATACCTCTTAACCAACGGTTAGCGCTAACCAGGCTTCGAGCAACCGGCCCCTGACCGCTAGCTGGATTTGTTCTCGGTAGTCTCGAGTTCAAATCTTCAGCCACGCTTGTAAATAGCCAACTGGTTTGCCTCCTACCAGTCGGTATTCTTAACCATGTTATGCTCAATTTTAATTATTTGTTTCATAATCCCTGAAAAGCCCCATAAGAGTAGAGGATAATTAAGTATTTAGAATTGAGATTTTTTTAAATTTGTTTTTATTATATAGAGGATATTACATGGCCGCGCGGAGATACGAAATTTCTCTTCGTGTGTTGAAAAATATTTGCGCGAACGAGTGAAATATTTTCAACACGAGAAGAGAAATTTCGTATCTCCAAGCGGCCATGTAATGTTCTATTTATTATATAAACACCAATGAAATACCAAACCATTTCACTGAAACAGTTTTTTCCTGCGAAAGGCGCGATTTATTATGTGACCATAGCAACGGTGATATTTTCACATGTGAAAATAACATGTTATTTTCACGTGTGAAGATATCATGTTTTCGCGCGAAAGCTCACCTGGTATTTCATTGTTGTTTATATAATAAAAATCTGTTTTTATTGCCTCATGGTATTTGACGCGCCGACCTTGTCACGAGATAAACAATTCCTGCATGTACTCCTCTAAGTACCTGAATACTGACATATACATTCTTTTTATAAACTAAGGTTAAGCTAATTGAAAATAGTTCGACAAGCTTTCGTTCATTGACACCCTCCTTTGACTTTGCAGTAAACGACTCATCGCCAGCGATACAGATAGTTGGTATGAGCGCAACCTTACCCAACCTTGACATGCTCGCAAAGTGGTTGTCCGCTGACCTATATTTCACCGACCAAAGGCCTGTACCGCTGACCGAAATGATCAAAGCAGGCTCGACTCTTTATGACGCCAGTATGAACAAGATTCGAGAAATCAGAGGTGGCACTGTCAGCGGAGATGAGGATCACGTGATTCCTTTATGCAAGGAGACGATATCGGAAGGACACTCTGTCTTAGTCTTCTGCCCGACAAAAAACTGGTGTGAGAAGCTGGCAGAGTCCATTGCTAAGCATTTTTTTGACATTGGAAGCTTGGCTGTGAAGGAAAGTAATATTTCTTCTGCTACAGGTGGTGGATTTGTCAAAGCTTCAGAGCTACTAACGTTTGATTATATGGCACTGAAGGAAGTAATAGAACAGTTAAAACGCACACAAGTAGGCTTGGACTCAGTCCTCTCACGCACAGTCCCTCACGGGGTCGCATTTCATCACGNGCTACAGGTGGTGGATTTGTCAAAGCTTCAGAGCTACTAACGTTTGATTATATGGCACTGAAGGAAGTAATAGAACAGTTAAAACGCACACAAGTAGGCTTGGACTCAGTCCTCTCACGCACAGTCCCTCACGGGGTCGCATTTCATCACGCAGGACTCACCTTTGACGAGAGAGACATTATTGAAGGAGCCTTTAGACAAGGGTCCATTCGAGTACTCGTGGCGACCTCTACATTGTCGTCAGGTAAGATCCCACGGAAAAAATGGTCCTTTCTCCCGCTATTAAAACATCAAATGCAATTCATAGAAATTCTTATTTCATAAAAGCTTACAATCTACAGGAAAACTTTCTTTAAAACATTATTCTTATACAGATATATTCCCTAGTTCTCCTTGACCACAATAATCTTGTAACAGCTTCAGTCTTTGTAGCCTTGTAATAAAGCGTTGACTGTAGCTTGCTCTTAGAAGCACAGTTAATTAGATCGAGATCCCAAGTTCGATCCACGGTGACATCACATCTTTCTTTCATCTTCTCTCCTTTCTTTTAGCTATAAATAACTTTAAATACCCTTAAAACGGAGCATTGATGAAGGGGTGGGGGGCAGGGGTAAAATGAGCTCACCATCGACCTCCAGTTTATCAGTCGAATTACTTTCGCGAGTTATCGACGTAAAATATGGCTGCTTAACCTTTTTTATTATTTTCAGGCGTAAATCTCCCTGCGCGGCGCGTCATAATCCGTACTCCAATATTTCATGGTAAACTTGTGGATGCACTGGTGTATAAACAGATGGCTGGCCGCGCAGGTCGCAAAGGAGTCGATGCGCTGGGAGAGAGTGTCCTTATATGCAAACCCGCTGAACGACAGAAGGCAGCTTCGCTTTTGAATTCTCAGCTAAAAGCTGTTCACAGCTGTTTGCTAGGTATGAATAAAGTTTCCATGTTTGTATGTCGCGTTTTCATGGACGCGGTTTTGTTGGAATAGGTCTAGTATGTATGTATGCGCATGCTGTTTACCTGTCAAAGAGCTGGATGCAGAATGCAGCTGCCAGGGTTATCTGCCATATTGAACGCTTTGATCATATCACTACCTCCTTATTTAGCCTACGTGCGCTATCAATTAGACACAGAATTCAGTTTAAATTTTTACCGTTCAGCTGTAAAGCCTTTAAATGGACTTGTTCCTGCATATATTACAGAACTCTCTGTCAGTAGTATAATCTCATTTTATTGTTTATAGCAATGGGATATCCCTTCGTTTTCTTTATTTTAACTTTACAAGCTATAATGTACAAATTCATGTAATATTCACCGACGATATTGTCAATCAATTCGTGCCTTGATAACAGGCAATTGGTGCAGGTAACTTTAACAATTATTTCATGAGGTAGGGTATGATCTGCGAATCATGCATATCGATGAGGGTGTTGTCTGCTTTTTATTAAATCAAAGTTCGGTTATTTGTTCAAAACATGTGAAGGTTTCCGCCATTTTCTCCAGTAAGTGAGCAAACGTAACCTCGTCCTCAGGGCTTTTCGGTCACCGTCCCCCTTTTTCGGGCGACGGCGTGTACTTTTGACGTCATTTTAACGGATATCGCAAACGTCTTTCAAATTTGGGCAACGCTTGCTGCTTATGAAGAATTAGATTTCGGTAGTAAACACGTCATCAGTATGAAACTTCTGCAGTCGTTTTCAGACGTCATCTCGCTTGGAAACCAGTGGTGGCTTCGCGAGATATCGGCTGTTTTCTTGGGCTAAACAGAGCAAAACACATGTCTTTTGATCGCACACGCATTGAAAGGCTTTGGCATCAGAACAAGGCCCACTTCGGGTTCCAGGGTCGGCAGTTCGCATCCAGGGGGATTCTTGAATTTGAATCTGTGCAGAAGGCGAGCCAACGTAAGGAAAAGTTGAATCCTTGCTAGAGATTCACCTGAGCAAACACGACGACCAGCCGAAAATGGCAGAAAGACATCAGCTTTTGGAGGGACAAAATTTCCATCTTCGTCCAGGAACCTTTGGGGCTTAAATTCGTTTGGAGCAACCCAGAGGTCCGGATCGTGATGTAGGGACCATAAATTTACCAACACAACGGTTTCTTTTGGGATATGGAATCCCTGTAGTGTTGTATCCACGGTCGCTTTATGAGGAATCGCCAACGGCCCAGGAGTCGAAAGGCGCAAGGTCTCTGCAATAGTGGCTTGCAACAGGGGAAGGCTTTTCTCGTCCTTGAGGTCTGGTAAACGATTTGGTCCAATAACATGATCCAACTCTTGATGTAACAGATTTTGGATTTTTGGATTGTGAATGAGGTATAGCAGCGCCCAGCACAAAGAACCTGAAGTGGTTCCCAGTCCAGCAATAAACATCTCACTTATTGTTAAGATAAGCTGCTTATCCGTGAGGAGTTCTTTGATTGACGCATTGTCTTTTATAGCCTCCATTTTAGCCTTCAACATGGCGTCTGTCAAATCTTGAGGGTTCTGCACTCTGTTAGCCTCCACATGTTCCCGGTAAATCTTTCCTACCAACTCTTCTCTTTCCTTACAGCTCTGTTTTAAAGTCTTGATTGAGTTGAATGGTATGAACGAGAGCCACGGAAACACGTCCACCACACTTCCTGATGAAAGCGTTTTCGCTACACCCTTGGTCATTTCAAGAAACCTAGTAACCTCAGGGTCATTTATTCCATATTTTGAACCAAACACCAATGCACAAATCACATTCATCACAGCTAAGGTAATATCTTTTGTGATGTCTTGTGGCTGTCCATTTCTGGAGCCCACCCTTTCTAAGAGATGGTCAAGTTCCTCATTGATTACTTTCCCTTGTTTCAGCACCTGGTTCACATACATTTTAAGCGCCGAGACGGTAATCTTGTTATGAAGTCGCCATTGATTTGAATAGTCAGCAAAACCAATCGCTTTACCTTGTGAGTAAACCTCTGCAGTATAAAATCTTGGACGACCGGCGAATTCGGCTGACTTTCTAACAAGAACTTCTTTGATAGCATCTTGGCCGCTAACAACGATTACAAGCTGGTTGCCGAGGTACAACCTAAAGACGTGACCATATATTTTCTCCATTGCCATTAGGTCAAGATGACGTGTCTCGGCCGCTAATTTGTGTGCATTTCCAATAATTGGTAAAGGAAAAGGACCAGGTGGAAGATTTCTGGTTACAGAGAGGCGATTTACAACGAATATGTCGAGGATAACTGCCAAAAGATACCACGAGAACTCTTCAAACATCTTTATGATTATTACGTGAAGAGCTTCCACCGACATGTTAAGGTTCACGATTTGGGAATTGAATAATTTACAACAACGTAACGCACGAAATGCTTATCATTTTTTCCCCAATTTTCTAATCCCAAGTCGCCCAAGCATAAAATCAGGGTGTCAATTATATCCCAAAAATGGGTCAATAAAGGAATACCTTGAACTCGTGGGATTCTTAAAGATTTCTCAGNAGCGCCGAGACGGTAATCTTGTTATGAAGTCGCCATTGATTTGAATAGTCAGCAAAACCAATCGCTTTACCTTGTGAGTAAACCTCTGCAGTATAAAATCTTGGACGACCGGCGAATTCGGCTGACTTTCTAACAAGAACTTCTTTGATAGCATCTTGGCCGCTAACAACGATTACAAGCTGGCTGCCGAGGTACAACCTAAAGACGTGACCATATATTTTCTCCATTGCCATTAGGTCAAGATGACGTGTCTCGGCCGCTAATTTGTGTGCATTTCCAATAATTGGTAAAGGAAAAGGACCAGGTGGAAGATTTCTGGTTACAGAGAGGCGATTTACAACGAATATGTCGAGGATAACTGCCAAAAGATACCACGAGAACTCTTCAAACATCTTTATGATTATTACGTGAAGAGCTTCCACCGACATGTTAAGGTTCACGATTTGGGAATTGAATAATTTACAACAACGTAACGCACGAAATGCTTATCATTTTTTCCCCAATTTTCTAATCCCAAGTCGCCCAAGCATAAAATCAGGGTGTCAATTATATCCCAAAAATGGGTCAATAAAGGAATACCTTGAACTCGTGGGATTCTTAAAGATTTCTCAGCCCGGCCTCCGTCTACACGAATCAAGGTATTTTTGGAACCGCAAATTGACGGATTACTGGTTAAGGTTTCCTGTAAACGGAAGCCCGATTGGCCTATAAAAAAAAGCCCTGATTCGCTTAGACGAGACCTCAGACCTTTCTTCGGCCAAGCCTGCCATCAGACCCATTTTTAAGTGATGTTTACCCTGAGAGAAGTTGTATTATTTCACGCTGTGTGAAAGTAGTAGCCTGCTCACATACCATCTATTTTCTCTAATGAGTCCGCCGAGCGCGCGTGATAAAAATAAAAACAGCGGGGGAATTAAATGACCGCTAGTGCAAGGGGGTCGAGGTAGGGGAAGACGAAAATTATTTTTCTTTCTCGCGCTCGCCGATCATCGAAAAGAAGAATAAAGCAACGTCTGTGTACAGGCTATGAAGGTAGACATTCAGTAATGGATACTAACTTCCTATCCCTTTTAGGCAAAGAAGACAATTGTGGAATAAAACGTGCCCTTCTTGAGGTCATTGCTAGCGGAGTGGTTACCAGGCCTCAAGATGTGGAACGTTACGCGGCCTGTACCCTCTTCGCCTCAGTCCCCTCGCAAGAAAATGCAAGTGATTCAGATGCTATTATTAAGACGACTGTGGAGTTTTTGGTACAAAATGAATTTGTTCGTTTACAAAAGTGTGGCGATGCAGACCGTGATGGAAATAAAGAAAATCAGAACGGCATCGAGGAGGTAACATTCAATTATGTGACACTTTTTCATAAATTTGGGCAGATGAAAGGAACTGTTATGAAACGTTCTAAATGAGGAGTGGTATATTATTATTGGCCTCTGTGCGCTATTTAACTAGTATTACGTCTCTCTATTACTTCTATTGATTCTCTCATTGCATGTACTTTCGTATCAAAGTGATCTTTTGAATCTGTTTTCTCTCATCTCCTCAAAACCAGAACTTTTAACTTAACGACGACTTTTTATATTAACAGCCGACATTTCTTGACGCCACCACTGGTTTCCCCATGAAATGACGTCTGAGAAACGAGCGTGGAAATTCCACACTGATGACGCGTCACTACCCAGATCTGGATAGTGCTTCTGATTGGTCGTGCTGCATGGGAAATTTGCTTCAGCCAATCAGAAGCAATACCTAGATCTGGGTAGTGACGCGTCATCAGTAGGGAATTTCTGCGCTCGTTTCTCAGACGTCATTTTATGGGAAAACCAGTTTATGGCATCGGCTGTTTCGTCAGGGTAGTCTTATACGAGTGTTTTTTAGATTTTGTTGTTTTCTCTACCCGCTTAGGAAATTTAACCTGAGTTAGAGTTGCTTAAATTAGAATTTTCAAAATCAAGAGAAGAAAGCCATCGAACAGCGAGCCCCTGCTCATTTTAGTCTTTTTACGGTGCTTTCTCGAATAAAATGAAAAAGGTAGTAAGAAACAGGACCCTCTAACAACCTCAGCCTTCTTCATTTTTTCCGTTGGTTTCGTGGTTCGGCTACTACTGATAGCTGGATTGTCAGTGAGTTAAACCTGGACTGATTCTAAAAAATAATTGATTAGACGGATCCTGTTTGGTTCAATTGCAGGCTGAAAAGGCTGATGAGAGATACGTACCAACTCAGCTAGGTATGGCTACGTTATCGTCAGCTCTATCCCCGGATGAGGCTCTTGTGGTGTTTTCTGAGGTGCAGAAGGCCCGCAAGTGTTTCGTACTTGAGAGCGAATTGCACATTATTTACCAGGTGAGAGGGAAACCAGACTTACCGTAAAATTCTTGACGCGAACGCTCATTTTCATTCACCCCAAGCTGAGTCATGGAAGGAAAGTGGAGGGCATGGAGACGATGTGATAACTAGCGTGTTTTTTTACGAAAACATGAATATGCAGGATAACAAAAACTTGTTTATACCAAAATCGTAGTAAATAGTACCGTTTAACAGGTTCCCAGGTGGAGTTTTAATTAAAGCTTAGATTCCAATGAAATCGATGGCATTTAGGCTCTGTTTTTATCTTACTTAATGTCATGTCACAAATTACAGCATTCATTGTTTCATATATTTTTAGCTTAATTTTTATTCAATTTATATATCATTGTATCACTGTAATTTTTAGATTTGCCATCATTTTAACGTATTCATTATTTGTAAATTAATTACTTGTGTCACTGAAAAGCCTTCTGTAGGGAGTGTCAGTAAAGTTTGTATAGTTTCTATTGTTTTTGTGCTTCGAGGGGCCCTAGTGAGTGAATCTGTGCTTTATAATCTCACAACATTGCATAACCATTGTGTAACTGTTGACCACCTAGGTTACTCCAATATATATTCAAGATCAGTGGCCCAGCATTGATTGGTACCAGTACCTCCGTATCTGGGAGCGCCTACCTGCAAGCATGCGTCGTGTGGGCGACCTGGTAGGAATAGAGGAGGGATTTCTGGCCAGAGCCGTGCGAGGCCGTATATTGACACGTACGGAACAACAGCGTCAGTCACTCGCCGTGCATCGCAGATTCTTTGCTGCTTTAGCTCTTCAAGACCTCGTTCACGAAGTGCCACTCAATGTAGTTGCCAGGCGTTACGGTGCAAACCGCGGCATGTTACAGTCTCTACAAGGTTCCGCGGCAACATTTGCGGGAATGGTGACCATGTTCTGCGGGAAACTTGGTTGGACTAACATGGAATTGCTTCTCTCGCAATTCCAGAGCCGATTATCTTTTGGCGTTGTGCGTGAGCTTTGCGACTTGGTGAGAATATCTCTCTTGAACGCTACGCGTGCGCGTATGCTGTACAGTGCTGGCTATCACACCATCGCTTCCGTGGCTGCAGCACCTCCCTCTGCGATCGAAAACATACTACATAACGCTGCTCCATTCGTCAGTGGACTCAAGCGCGGTCAGGAGACTGAGACCGAGGTGCGTGAGCGTAGCGAGGCACGCGTTATCTGGGTCGCAGGACGGAGAGGCCTTACATTGGGAAAGGCCGCCAAGCTTATTGTCAACGAAGCTAAACAACTTCTGCAGGCTGACGTGGCACAACTTGGAATTGAGTGGAAACCGTCAGAGACTGAGGAGAATGAGGCGAATATGTCTAGTATGGCTGATATGAGGCCGAATAATGGCATTGCTCAGTCAACGGTCGCTATCCAAAGTGGTGCAGATGCAAGAGTTCCTACCAGAATAGATAAAGATTGGAAAATGAATGTTGAAAAATCGAACCCAAAATCCCGCGCGAATGATCCTTCAACTGACATACAAAGGAATAGGTTGCAGCCCGCACAAACTGGAATTGCCCCGGATGGCAATCATGGCCAAGAGATAGTTAAGTCAGGAAAGCAAGAGAATAAAGTGGTTGTACCAAGTTCTCTTGCAGACAAAATGCCCATCATCTCCAGCGCCGGGTCGTCTTTGGCAAATGTCCAGTCAAAGGTATCAGTAAACAATAAAGCCACTGATCATGACGTAACGTGTCGAGTGAAAGGCAAGATAATGGAGAGTGTGGCTTCAAAATTGATATATGAGGATTGCGGTTCAATATCGGTGGCCCAATTACAGCCGACAGTTACTTGTCGCGCTAAGGAAAAGCCTCACACTGTCTCGAGTCCTTTACTGCCTTCCGATGACGTTCCTCGTTCGAGAAAGAAACGACGCTCGCCAATTTCTGTATTACCAGGACCACAAGAAAAATTAACGAAAAAAGAAACAGCGTCTGTGGAGATATCGGAGGTGTCAAGAGCCCGTCCAAATGAGTCAGAAAACGCTTCCGTTGTTGCTGAAGCTTCTTCTGATTCTAAACTCTGTAACGAGGTGCAGTCTGTTTCGGTGGAGTTGTATTCTGAGCCATTTGAAGGAGAAGAACCTGCTGTACAGGCAAAACCGGTTGCCGGTGAGCGGGATGATAATAACGTTTTGTTAGATTCCCAAGCACTGGCTGCGTGTAGTTTGAGTGACACCTGCCTCATGGAGTGTGACGTCATGATTACAAATTCAGGACAAAATCCAGCGGCGCATGCGTCTCCTGTTAAACGAAAAGATTCCGCTTCAAAAGTCATGCGCGACAAAGACACCATTGTTGTCAAGCCTCCGTCCGGTAATGTTGCTGCGGATCAAAGTCAAGAACTTATTGGTGAATATGACACCCAACCGCGACTTCCCGCGACTGGAGAGTTTCACGTGGAGCGAAGTTTTGAGCTTGTGTCATCGTTGACCTCTCCTGTACCTCACTCATCTAGATCCCCATCTGCTAATAATGATCTAGTCTCTCCCAACATAACGCACTCGTTTTTGCTTCGTCTTTCATCTAGCGATGGTTGCTTAGAGTCGGATCTATCCACGCTGGCTGCCTTCGAGTTAATCGAGAAAGAAGCTGAGGCGAAAAATATAGAAGGAAAAACAGAGACAGCTGTGATTTCGGGTGACGATGGTTTTACTAAAATTAACGAATTGAAAATCCCGATTGTTTCCGGTCACGTGCAAGAAATATCACCAGCAAAGAAGATACCACGTAAAGAATTGCAAGAAGATCTGGAAAATAAAGGTAGCGAGGCGCTTGATTCTGATTTAGTTCCTTCTACGCCACCAGTAGAAAAGAAACCTTCCCAAGACGATTTTAAAACCAGAACTTCAGCGACCCCTTTGTCTACAAGAAAACGGCTCTCGCCAAGACGCTCCCGTTTTTCTAATACCCCGGATGAAGGGCTGGCCATTATCGATGTCACGGGACACGAGCAAGTTTTCTCCATGTTCCTGAAAGAATGGCGCAGTCAAACGCGCTACTCGTTGGCAGTGGCTTGTGAGCGCGTTCTTGATAATGTTCCTAGGATTGGAGGCCGATTTACTACTAATGTGCCAACGTCGGAAGGAACCTCGCGAGGACTCACAGTTGAAGGAGAGGATCAGGTAGTTGTCGGAGTTGCGGTGAGCTGGGGCGACAAAGACGCTTATTACGTGTCTTTTAAGGAGCATGCTCAGCCTTCACCCAACCAAGCGGACGACAGTCAGACTGAGTCAGCGGTTGATAATAACCTGACTCTTGATCGTCGTGTAAACGCATTAAAGGATGTTGTTCTGTTCTTGACTGAGCAAGGCCGGTTCATGGTTTGTTTTGACGTCAAGGAGCATTTTAAGGTAAGAAAAACTGAGTAAGTTAATCTTTGGAAGGGAAATAAAGAGCAATGGGCTTTAAAAATTGAATTCTATTTTTAATTAATACTACCACTGCGATCGGTAGTTGTTATACAGTAAATACCCGCCTGTAAGAACCTACTGTTTTAAGAACCTGCTGGGAGAAATGTACCATTTTTATACTAAAAAATATAAGAACCTGTTTAGCCAAGCAAGATCAAGCAGGTTCTTATATATGTGGATCATAGTTAAAATATGACGACCATTTTAACCAAGGAATTAGACTTTGAGAGTGTAAATTTATATTACAAGAAAATGCTTGATTTGTGAACTTTATTTTTCTTAATATATTTTTATTCTACAACTTACGTTATGGGGATAACGCTACATTGAATACATTCTGTAATCAGTTTACTTAGGCTTATAATAATACAGTTGTGAAGAAATACTGTTTATTTAAGGACCAAACAAACCAAGTTTGACCAAACCCAAGTTTTACTGGTAGCCAACGACTATATTTCCTTCATTGTAATAGACCATTTTCGATACGTTTAAAATTATACTTGGCTCCGAGGCTTGGGGGAATAAAACAAAAGAAATGCATTATTCATTGCTGAGCCTCGAGATGATTTCTTTTGTTTTCTTCCCCCAAGCGTCGCAGTCATGTATGAATTATAATACATGTATATCGAGATTGGTCTATCAAGAACATGATTAGTAATAAGAACCTACTTAGCGTAAATTGCCAGTAACTACTCCAAAATACAAGAACCCTTTTGCCAAACTTCAAAAAATGTAGGTTCTTACGCGCCGGTTTTTACTGTAGCATATGTAACTAGGTTCATTCTCAAGTAATGGCTTTCAAAAATTTATACGTTCGCGATAACGCCACAAGGAAGTAGCAAGAAACAGTAGAGAACTAATGTTAGTGCAATGTTGGAACAGTGTTTGTACAGTGTTCAAGCTGTATTGATGTTTGCGAAATCCTGGTGAGCTGGTGTATCCTCTAGTGTTCATAATCCTGGATTCGAATTTCCCAGCTAAAGCGTCGTTTGTGTTTGGTTTGCCCGCTACAGACGATTCACGCGACTGATTCTACTTGCTGTGATCAATTTACCAGCAGAAGTCGTTCGCATATTTATGTGGAGACTGGGATATAGCTTTCATCGTTTCCTTATAAATGCTCTGAGAATATTTTTTGATAAATCGTGGTTTGGTTTCTTTTCGATTAAGCTTAATTTAAATTTAACCTTGTTATGTCAAATTGATGATTTATTTATATAAACACTGCTGAGGGTAAATAAAAGAATTACGTAATTATTGTATTTGATGGCAGTTTTTCTTTCCTTATAATGTTTTATCTCTTCAGACCTTTGCTCGTTCCAGTGGCATCTCTCTTAATGGACCTGCTGAGGATCCAAAGGTGGCAAATTGGCTTTTGGATCCAGGGGCTAAAGAAAGGAACCTTCACCAGCTTGTTGCGCAGCACCTACCTGAGGAGGCCCCCCTTCTGGAAGGTAAGTATACATAACGGACCATAATTTGCCTTATAATCATTAGGCATTTTTTATGGTCCTTATTTTAGCATCCTCTGGAATTAGCATTGTAGTATTGACCTTTAAAAGAAAACGCTGCAAACCATTGTAAACCACATGAACGCCCTCCTTTCATTTCAGGCAGTGGTGGTGGACTGGGTACTGGAGGTCTGGCACTAGCATATCAGTGTCAACAGAGTGGTCGAGTGAGGGCCTGTGTCGAGTCTGTATTGGTTCTGTCGCTGATGAACAAGTTACGGCCATTGTTGGAAGCAGAGCAGCTTCTGTCGGCATTTACAAAGGTTTGTGTTCCATGTTATACAGTTCATTTGCTAACAAGTACTGAGCTTTTTTTTTTAAAGCAGGATTAAGATAGCCCAAGGTAAGCACGAAATTTGAATCCAGGTCTGAACGTTTACAAATTGAATTAGCGAATTTAGGCTGATTTTTTCTGTCTACAATTTGATGTTTGGACGCTCTGCTGTGTCTAGTTAAAATTTACAGGGAAAATGCCTTCAAACAAAAGAAACAGGAAATCGGATTAAAATTCGAACAACTGGGCCCTGGACGTTATGAGCGCTACAGTATTTTAGGTCTGTTTAAAGTAAGGACCTAGCCTCAAGTGATCAAAAGGTGGAAAGTGCTACCCACTGGAAAAATCAGCATCCAGCTGATAACGCAATTGGTTTCCCTAATAGTTTAACAGTGTATGGTGATTTGTCTGGTGGATAGTTGTATCCATTTTTTGAACAAATGGGCCAGGATTACAATGTTAGGTGCGATTGTCACAACTAGATCAGCTTTTACAGGGTGTCAAGAACGTACTAGCCTAAGACTCATTTTAACTAGCCCTCTAAAAATTTTTGACGAGAAGAATTGATAACAGTTCTTTAGTAATTCGAATTCCCTGTTTGTAGTTATTTTGGGTGCCCCTTAACTGTATGTATTTTTAGTTCTATACCATGTATTTTTTCAAGTTGCTCAACTTACAGTTCAAAATAAACGTTGTTGTCATTGTGACGATCGTTTTCAAGCCTCTGACAAAAGACAGCGATAAATGGCTACCCGACTGCGAATGGCTCGTTTTCGTCGATGTAAATGTTGTTTAACCTGTTATTGTTAAACTAGTATCGTTGCTTCAATTATCACTGTAGGTAGAGATGCCATCTGTACTCTGCTTAGCTCGCATGGAGCTAAACGGTGTGGGTTTTTCAGACGCACAGAGCGAACGCCTCAAAAACATCCTGCAAGCTAAACTGCGCACGCTCGAAGAGGAAGCATACCGACTGGCCAATCATAGCTTCTCTTTGACCAGCCGTGAAGACGTAGCACAGGTACGAGGCAGAAGGTGATAAAATTACCTCATTCTCTCTTTTTGCTACCCTCGAAATCTCCTGGAATTTTGTAACTGTGTTGGGTGACTGTAGGTTGAACGGACCCTCAGTCTTTCTTATTTTTGGCATGGACTTGTCACTAAAAATCGATGGACACCATTGGATAGATCACTCTTTGCAATTTCACTTATTTGTTCATAGAAGGGTCTATTTATACGTCAATTAAATGTTGTTGATGTCTGCGGTTATGATTACATCGACAGGAGTGCCGAAGAAGCTTTTTACAGCAATCTGCTGCAAATTCGTA